TAATTAAAGTCTCATTTACTAAGGTAAGAAACATGAGAATGCTGATCTGATTAACCAGTCTCCACGGAGTATGTATGTCTTTCTGTACTCAAGAACCCCAACTCCCAGCATTACTAGATGCACCATAATTGATGTTAGCTGTTCACAAGACTACTTTGTTAAACCCCACACCCAAATTCAGCAAAGTAGAACAATAAGCTTTTATTTACTGGGATTTTAACTGCAGACTGGACTGAGTAATGGGCTTCTCCCTGGAGGTCTGTCATCTGTCCAGAGCCACTCTCCTTCTGGTGTCTGGAATGCTTACTGAACCAGTGAGGTAGCCATGGAATATTCTTATGTTGCTGTCAAAGCCCAAAGGTCTGAACGGAAACAAGCCTGCAGCTGGAACTAGAACACTTTGACTTCCGCCCACAGCATATGGCATGGGGCAAAGCGAGTCCAGTGGAGAGTCCACAGGATGCATAGGCCGCTGTGCTGCGGTCATTGCAGAGGTGTGGCCGCAGAGAGGGATGTAGAGAGTCACAAACAGTTTGCCTTTGGGCTTGGGTATGAATGCCTGCTGTAAATTTGCTAACATTTCAAAACTATTTTTATATCCTTATTTTTATGTTCTTTAACATGGTGGCATTGAGCCTTTGTTTTCTTCTGTCACCCACTAAATCATAAGAATTTTCTAAATTAAGTTAAATCTGTGGTTTTAATAGCGTATTAGTCAGTGAGACCAAGGACATTATATGAAGATATGGAATGAGCACCTGATAACTCTCCATCCTGTTTCAGTTACTGTTAACTGATCATGACATGCTCTGAGGTCAGCTAACAATGTCAGCTCTATACTCCAGACGGTCCTAGCCACTCAAGGAGAAGAAGTTGGGAACTATTAGCTATTCTTACAGTAAGGTAACCAGATTTGTTCACTCTCAGATACTCAAAATACCTGGAGTATAACTAAGAAATACGTATTTTTATGCATGGCAATATATCATGAAATTGTGTAATGTAAGCAGCTTCTTGAATCTTGCAAATATACTAAATAGTGCTATGGCAAATATCAGGAAATAATACATGGGAATTTTTGTGTGCCCTGCAAATAAGGTGTTCATTTCAGCTATGTGGATTTATAATTGTGTAGTAAATATAATGGGATATATTATACATGGTACATATAATGGTATAATAGATACTTGGGTGTGGCATGTTTATGAAAATATTACCAATTCAAGTTTGTATTTTATCTTATCCTTATAAAAAATAAAAACTTTTGAAATTACTTGGTTAGTCATTTTTCTACAAGGAATTGGATAATAATCCCATTTCACAGCCTTTTTGAGTATAGTACCTATCATTTGGATACATTCATTTAGATCTTATCCAAGTTTCCATAATATCTGTCTTCAGCTAGTTGCCACTAGCTGACAAATTTTTCTAGCTTTCAAGTATCAGTGCATGCATTTAATCATGCATAAAGCATAGTCCTTTGCCTTGGGGAACTCACAATTTGGTCTATACAAACAGTCACAATCCAAACATATAAAAGGTAAGCGAAAGGCACGTGAATGAAGGATTTGTGTGCATTTGAGAAAGGCTTCAACAAAAAAGGCTACTTGAGTCAGATCTTGGTAAAGATGAAAGAATTTGTTAGGCACAGGACAAGGTGAAGGGAAGGATAGCTGAGGAAAAAGAACCCCAAGGATAAAGGTATGACGGTATATAACGTGTTCAGCAATTCCTGTGAGCGCAGGGAATTTGGGAAGTAAACTATTTCATTGGTTGGTTCAAGGCTTGATGGCTTTTACTAAAACATTTAGAGATGGAAAGAAGAGCCTTTTGAAGAGATGTTTCAGAGGTGGTATGGTGGGAAATGGGGATTAAATATAGCAGTAGGAAGAGGGGAAGGTGATGAAAGAAGCCAGGATGAATTGTTTTCATCCTGTGTTACTGTTCAGAGTATAATAGTCAATGAAATAGGGAATTTCTTGAGGAAGTAGATATATTTAGGGTGTGGTAGAAAGGGAAAGCTCATTTGAAAACAATAAACAAGATTTTACAATTGTTCATTTTGGGATTACCAGGTGAAAGGTGGGATCAGTAGGTAGCTTGAAATGGAGTTTAGGAGCTTGGCATGTAGGTGAAATGCGTAAGACCAAAACAAACCAAACCACTGAAATAGCGGCAAATAATGAGGGTTGTTGTGTAGGTGCTAGATATAGGGGTGGAGGTGGGGCAAACAATGTCATGCAGGACATAGGCAAAGAATTACAACTCAAAGTAGGATAAACAACAGATAAGGAGCTAACAAGGTGTAGCAAACAGTTCCAGAAGATCGGATAAAGAGATTAAGATTCTAAGCAGAGAGGCAGAAAGAAAGGGCTGGTGGGAACTAAAATGTCAGAGCAAAAAGCCATAGACCAGACTTAGGGAGGTCATCAAAAAATAAACAAAGTAAGTAGAAAATTGTGCCAGTCTTGGAATTTTATGTGGAAGCAAAAACCTCTGAGACTTGAGACTTCAGCTATTATTGAAAATATTTCCAGAGAACAAAAAGAAATGTCATGTTCCATTTGATAAACTTTTAGGGTAAAGATAAGAGTGTTCTCTACCAACTACAGTGATATTTTGTCACACAGAAGAACAAAAGCTAGTTTGCTTTTTGAATAGAAGAATGGAATGCTCAAATTATTTGCCATTTTCCTTCTGTCCCATTCCTTCCTTCCTCTTTTTCTGCCTGCCTTCCTTTTTTTTCTCTATGGAGATGTAAGAATTTGCTGAGTTTGGTTAGGAAACAAATGGGTTAGGGCCCGTTACATGTTGAGTAAAGCATCGACACATTATCTAGGACATGTTGTTTTGTTTTGTTCTCTAGATTTATGTATTTATGCATACAAGAACTGGGGTGCAGGCCAGGGGTGCAGGGGGTGAGAGGATTCACCAGAGGCAGAGTGGGGAGCAGAAGAGGCAGATCTACTGAAATATGCTACTGAGGGGAGCAGCGGGGAGGACAGGAAAGGTTTGCTGCACCATGTATGTCAGCTCCCTCACTGAGGATTGAATTCGTGCTCCAGTGGCAGCTATAGCTTCATAGTGCTGTGCTTTAACTCGTAGTTCCACCAGGGAGGGCCCTATAGATGATATGTTGAAGCCCGGATATTCTCCAGTATACTGAGAAATATTTTATTTAGGTTGACTCATAAATAATTTCTTCTAAAAGTGAGTAAAACTAAGATAAAATCAAATTCATGTAATTTTGGATCTCTGGTGACCATGTTACCCCTCTATTAAATGAACTGCTGTCTTTAAATTCTTTTAGAGAGTTAGGTAATTACTTACCAGCTAGGTATAAAACACTCAAGTCTGGGGCTGGAAGCAAATAGAAATATAGCATTGTCATTGCACACCTTTTAACCTTAAAACTTTCCTCTAGTTTTATATCCATTCCTAATGTGGAAAATGGAGCTGATTTATCCGCTTCCTTTTATTTTCTGGGTTCTTTATTTTTAACCTGGTAAGTTAGAAAGAATTGGCCTATTTCTTGAAAAAATTAAATCTAAGATATTTCTCAGAATGAAAACTGAAAGCCTAATAAATATTTGATAAAGGATCCTCTGGTACTAGAGAACAATGAGAACATCCTCATTATTTTTTCCTATTTAAGTAAAGGCAATTCCTAATTAATGTTACTTTTACAAGTCATCTTATTTATAAACTACTGAAACAATTTCAGCTGAAATGTTTGTGCAAGTCTGGCTTGTTGTACTGAACAACATTTCACAAGACAGGTTTTGGTCAAGCAGTTTGGTTGAAACACACTGTTTTACTTTAGGTGCTGACTACTCTGATGGAAGTTTCCAATTGCCTTGATTAAAGTAGAAACATCCTATGGCTTGGATGACTTACATTTCAGATTGGTTTGAGCAAGATGATTGGTATGAAGGACTACAAAGAGTAAGATATGTTTATGTTGTACTTTTAATTTTCTGTGATTTTTTCCCCTGTTATCATTCTCTAGCAGCTATATTTTTATGTCAACTATAATGTAGACTTTTTTGTATTGTAGAATTTTTAGAGTAAAAAGATACTAATTACACAATAATACTTATAACAAGATAATATATAAGATAGTCATACTGATATATTGAAGAAAAGGCATTTTTTATTCTGATATCAAATGAATTCTTATTTTTTTCAGGATGTCTTTTTTATGCTTTTTATATAAGAGAGAAATCTTTCTAATGAGATTGATATATGAAAGTAGCAATAATTTCAAGAAAGTGATTTTGCATAAATAAAAACAGTTGACAAAATAGATGGATCATAATAATATTGTAAAAGGAATTATAAAATTTCACTGAAGAGAAGTGCCCTGTTCCTCTTGATAAGTTTTTAGGCAATTAATGATATTTTAAAAGCATTTGCATTGTTACCATGGCAACTTTTATATAGTATTTTGGAAAAAGCTGTTCTGATCTATAATTACAGTCATGGAGAATTACTGTTTTGACTTGCTTCTTATAAAAATGGATTCAGGTTTAGAACAATATATGATTTCTCTTTGATTATTTTCACTTTTGCAATGGAAGGTTTTTTTAATTAGTAAACTTATGGCAATTTGTGGATTTTTCTTTTCATTAATGAGTGGCATAAAAGAGCTGGAGCATTTTAATCTGATTCTCCCCCATTGTTTCAGGAAATGTGCTGCCGAAGATAGGCAGTGCTGTTCTGAGTTTTCCTTCCTCCTCACTTCGCCTCCCATTCTAATAACAGCAAAGATATTTTCTTAGTATTTTACTTTTTTTCAATTGGCTTTTTAGTTGTAAATCTCTAACAATTTAAAGCCTTTTAGTTTCTGTTTCAGATTTTTATTTTCTGTGAAACCGTTTGTAAACATTTCTGGAAATTTAATCCTCATATTGCAGATACTAAAGCAAGCTTCGGAAAAGAAGTTGAAATTCCGTGGGTTATTTTCTGTCCTGAATTCATCTCATCCATGATGCTGGAAATAGTTATTTGCATGATACCACGCTAAGCCCCACCGGCCACGCACATGTATGTTGTGTGCACGCAGTCCAGCATTGCCGTCCTGTGTTTGAATTGTGTGTTTGCATTTTAAACGTAGCAACTAGTGTGTCCCAAATACTGAAACGGAAGGCGCCTTCTCAAATATAGTTCATATTTGTCTATGGGAAGGCACCCGCCTGGTAGTCTGATGTTGGGAAAGAGGGTTGACGAGTGCTTCTTACTGAAATTACAGGAGCCTTTAGAGTACTTTGAGGCAGCGACCAGAGACTATGAGGGTTTCAAATCTTTCCCTCCACCACAACGCTCTCTGCCCTTTAAAGCAAATATTTATCATTATAAGTAATTCCTGAAATATTAGCAGTGTAGCAGTTCATAGCTAGACAGACAGACATATCATTTGGCCTTAATTAGCATGTCATTTTCATGAGCTTCTTCTGGCGCAGACTTCAATTCTTAGAAAGAGGTGGATGAGAACGAAAGATTCTATTGCGAATGAAAATTAATTTCTTCTGAAAATCAAACTTAACTATTTTTAGATGAGTATGTGTATATATTCCCTATGTAGTCAGATTTGGCATAGCACAGTTTCCAACAGACTACTTTCTTGTTTGTTTACAGGAAGAAATAGTTGGATTTTTAATGAAATTTTTAATTTAGAAACATATTTTTAATTTAGAAACAAGTGGGATTTGATCTTTAAAGCACTAAATTGCTGTCTCGATCTTGATAAAATTAATCTTTTGGGTCTATGTAGATGTTTTACAGATATAAAACACAATACATAATTGACATTAAGTTAGTTTCATAATATTTTTGTTAGTGTAATTATATCCTAAATCACATTATGATTATTTAATTTAATCTTGTATATTCAAAGTAAGGCTGTTATACAATTCTATTGTAAATATACACTTAGTTACCCGATAGCTAACATTTCATTCACTACTATACAAAACATTTTCACTGCAATTTTGCATGTGTATGTATTTTTCATATAGTGTAATTTTGTAACCTATAGTGTAATTTAGGTTGAAAAATAAAAATAACATCTCTTCAAGGACTGTAGTTGCCAGGCTACTGAGAATATTGATTGTATGTGAGATAACAAACTCATGATGTCTTCTTGTAAATCCACATATTTTAATCCACATTTTTCAGTGAACTACATCTTTAAAGTGAATGTAGTTTTGGGGTCAAAAATACTGCATTTTTAAGCAACAAATCTCCAGAATAGGCCACTTAAGAGATTCTTAATTCTACTACATAAGATGCAAGACCAAAGTAAGAATAAATAGGGGTTACACAATATGTATCTGAACTATTTAATTACCTTCACATAATTAAAATATAGATAGTTAGATTTATTAATGTGTCATATATGTTGTAAGTTTCATAGGATTTAGATTTAAATATAAATATATATCTTGACATGGATTTTCAGTCCATTAAAATTTTTTGTTCTTAGTAATGTAGAATCACTAATTGCGCAATCATTTATTCTGTCCACAAAAATAAAAGCTTATGGACATTTTTTTTTAATGTCACAGAGGTCTTTTATTCATTTATTTTTCCACACCTCTTACGCAGTGAACCAAGAGAATGGTCCCGGCAGCTCCGGACTTTTTCATGAGTTCACTCATGGTTACTTCTCTTAGTTGATCCAAGTGCCTTTCTCTTTGGCTTCCCCTTTCCTTCTGATCATTTTCCTTCACACTTTCCAGGAGACCATTTTGGCTCTTCCAGTGCTTAATATGTCCAATATGAGCATTCATTCTCTAGACAGGAATCTTGCCCTTTACTTGTTTATTTACAACAGTGCTAATTGCATACCAGGTAATATTATAGAATCTTCCAGTGTTGCCATGGTTACAGGTGTGGGCCATTTCCTTTTGAACAGAGTCCATCCCCTGGATGTCGACAATATCACCTTCTTGTAGACCTGCATGTTTGTGACCAGAGGATCACCTCTGTGTTTTCTATAAAGTCTATAGAAAATATAGTGGTACTGCTCTTCTTTCACTTTGTACTGGTCATTTTGGAACTTTCCCAAAATATTGTAGTTCTGGCTGAAAGCTGGACATTTCTTTTTATCTCCTCAAAAATTATAGATATTATTTAATAAAGCCAATCTAGAATTCTGTTCCCTGTGAAATTATCCTTTAAAATGGAAGAGAAATAAATGCACTCTCAGAAAAGCAAAAACTTGGGAATTTGTTCCTAATAAACCTGACTTACAACAATATTAGAATATATTTTTCAAGGAGAAAGAAAATTATATGGGTTAGAAACTCAGAAGAAAAACCTAAAATCAGTCACTAGTGTGTCTCCTTACGAAACTAGAAGAGGCCCTCCCTCGTGGCACAGCGGGTTAAACACAGCACTGAGAAGCTAAAGCCACTTCGACATGAGTTCGATCCCCGCCTGCCCCGGAGGTGACCACATGGCGTGGCAGACCTCTCCTGGCCCGCCCGCTGCTCCCCTCAGCAGTGTACTTCGTTGATCTGCCTGTTCTGTTCTCCACTCTGACTCTGGTGAAGCCTCTCACCGCCCCTGAGCCTCTGTATGCACAAATAAATAAATCTTAAAAAAAAAAAAAAGAAAGAAAGAAAGAAAGAAACTAGAAGAAAGAAGAGGATATTAAATATAAAATAAGCAGAAAAAAATAACACAATTAGGGCAGAAATCAATACAGAAATCAAAATAGAAAAGTCTATAGAGAATACTAACAAAACTAAAATGCAGCTTCTGTGCAAAGATCAATAAAATTGACAGTCCTATAACCAAGATAATTAAGAACAGAAAAAAGGAACCTATCATTAATGTCAGTAATGAAAAAGGGGCATAATGACAGGTCAAATAAGGGTAGTAAAATGATAATAAAAGTATGCTAAATAACTCTGTACCCACACATTATTGATAGCCTAACTGAAATGTATCAATTCTTTGAACATGCAGTTTGCCAAAACTCACGCAAGAAAGACACAATCCAAATAGAGCTGTATCTGATAAAGACATTGAATCAATAATAAACTTCAAAAGTGGAAATAAAAAATAGGTCAAGATGAATTCACTGGTGAAATCTCACAATCATTTAAGAAAGAAATTATAACACTTCTATACAATCTCTTTCAAAAGATAGAAGCAGAGGGGATACCTTATAACTCGTTCTCTGAGAACAGATAAAGATATTGCAAGAAAGAAAAACTGCATTTTTTATGGACATTGATACCAGAATCCTCAAGAAAATACTAACAAATCAAATCCAACAAAGTATAAGATTATACACCATAAATCAGTATGATTTATTCTAGAAGTGCAGAGTTGGTTCAGCATTAAAAACACACTTCACTGGCCCTTCCTGGTGGCGTAGCGGGTTAAAGCGCAGCACTGAGAATCTAAAGCCACTTCCGCATGAGTTCGATTCCTGCCTGCCCCGGAGGTGACCACATGGCGTGGCAGACCTCTCCTGGCCCGCCCGCTGCTCCCCTCAGCAGTGTACTTCGTTGATCTGCCTGTTCTGTTCTCCACTCTGTCTCTGGTGAAGCCTCTCGCTGCCCCTGAGCCTCTGGCCTGTACCCCAGTTCTGTATGCACAAATAAATAAATCTTTAAAAAAAAAAAAAAACACTTCACATAATCCATCACCTCAGCTGATTAATGATGTGATCAACTCAAGTCAGTCAAATTCCTACCAAGTTATTTTGTGGACATTGAAAACTGACTCTAAGGTTTATTTGGAGAAGTAAAGTATGATCATAGACTTGCAAACAGCCTTACTCTTTAAAGCGTTCTTTTCTTCAATATTCTTCCTTGAAGAAATATAGTGTTCTAGGTAGAGTCTGAGATTCATGGAATTCCTTGTGCTGAGAAGAATCTTAAGGGAGATCCTGTTTCTGAAGCTTTATTTTAGACAGAAGAAATGATGACTTAGCCTGACTCCACTCACCATCTCTGTTGGTTCAGGCAAGTCGGGTCTCTCCGCTGCTCTAGAGTATCTGCATCTCTATGCTTGTTTACTCAACATTCTCTACCCTCTCACATGCCAGTTTTTACTCAGATGCCAGTTTCTTTTTGTGAGCAGCAAGCAGTGTTAACAAATGTGCATGCCTCCCTTGTGTATCTCAAATATTTTTGTAGGCTGTCGAGTCGATGTAAAAACTATGATTTCCGAGCCAAGTCACAATCCAGAGTTCACAAGCCAACACTTGCTCAGTGGGTTTTACATTTGAATTTGCTGTCTTGACTCAAATGCCAGTATTCAAAATTGGTACATTGTGCATAAAAATCTGGATATGTCAGTTTCTCTGGAAAGTTCCATAAATGGCAACCTGCAACGGCCTTCTCCAGTGGAATGATTGCCCTTTAGATAGGATATATATTTCTGTAGTCCCTCCAGTCCTTTAAGGATCCCCAAACAGTAGCCAAATGTGAGTTGTCATTTATCATTTTATAATCTCTTATTTCTCTACTACAATCTCTTCCTGACTTGATGTCTGTAAATACTTGCTATTTCAACTCTATTTCTCAGAGAGCATCAATTGAGATATATAATACTAGTAAAAAAAAAAATTGCGCAGGGCAGTTTTCTGAGATAAGGATTGAGAAAGACAAATGTAAAGCAATGAAAGTTTATTTAATAAGGAAAATGCATGATATGTCTCCAAATGTGTTTTCCAGGCAAATATGTCCCAGGTAAGGCAGGTGGGGCTGCTGCCTGCCGGATGTCAGCCATGGAACAAAGACGTCTGTGCTGCCAGTGGGGACAGGTTTGCATACTGTGCCACTCTGGCCATCTATATTTATCAGGTAACATAATGCTGATTATCCTAATTTTTAATTGCTTAAGGTAAAGTCAATAGTTAATTAGTAGTTATCTTAAAGCTCCTGTCACACAAAGGCATACTGCTATAACTTTCTTCCTATTCTTATTTTATAATTTGTTATTATTTATACTACGTTGGTTTTACAGGTCAAAAGGTTAGAAAATGCTTATATTAAGTTACTCGCAACATCATAATTGATTCCATAAGGCTTTAGGTTGTGTTCATCAAAAAGATTCTTTTTAAGAATTCATTTTATGAAAGGAGACCAGAATTTTTCTTTCTTTTAAACACTGGTGCCATATAAATAAGTGGAATCTATTAATCCATCTATTTCAGACTGCTTGGTAATAGTATCTGATATGAGAAGATTACTTTATCAGTTAAAGAACGTGGGCAGTCTATTAGCAACCACTACATTAAAAATAGAATAGATATGTTTTGAGATGTTCTTAGGATAAAACCGTTATAATTGCATCTTTGCCCCCAAACACCTATCAGTTCCCAATCTTTACAAACAATGGCCTTCTGCGTATCTCTATTTAGGGGTGCCATACACATCTTAAGTCCAGATTCAGAGTTTTCTCCGTAAGCCTGGAGTATTTCAGTCTCAGCAGCTCCCTTCATCTGAACCTCAGATGTGAGAGTAATCGTTGCCTCCCTCTTCCACTGCTGGGTAGGGCCTGGGTAACCAGAGTGATTCTAGCATTTTGTATTGTTTTCCATCGTCTTTATAGCCTACTGAACCATTATAATAATCTAACATGCTCATTACCTCTGTTTAACTAATTCAGTTATCTTTCAGTGTAACCAGTCATCTACAATGCAAATCTAAAATTTGACATGTTTAATTGCCCCTCACTCACTAATATGAACACCCGAGCTTAGTACTATGGCCTTTCTTGTTAGCTTCCTGCTCTCTCCCTCTTACCTTTGCCTCCAGACATACGCTCATAACTGCACTCTCCAATCTTGCTTTGCTACACTGCTTCCTCAGTTAACCTACAGTTTCCTGTCTGGAGAACATTTTTTCATCTTTCAAATATCAGCTTAAGTATATCCATTCTTTTTCACAGTCTGCTTTTCCCGCTTTCTCATTAGTGAAGAGTCCACCTTCTGAGGACAGACTGCCTGCCTACATGCTATCATTTGCCAGAATGAATCTTCTTCATTTTTGAATTCTCAAATTATTGTGTGTGCTTTTTCCTTAGTAGACATTCATTAAATGTTTCTTGCATTTGTTTTTTAATCCTGATAGGCCAATTTATTTTGTTTAACAGTAAAAAAGTTGTAGTTTGTTGAAAATCTAGGAAAATAGTAACATTTAACTGTAAATCAAGAACTTTCCACAATATGAGGCAAAATTTATGTAGTTCATTTCTCAAGATTGTGTAAATACCAGCAGTCAAATTTTAATTTCGGTGTAACTCACATTTCTGTCATTTCTCACCTCCCCCACCCCCCATAAAACTGCAGCAACACTTCTAAATGTTTGCTGTGAGCTCCCTATCTACATGTACTCCCAGATTTTTTACTTCCAATGTACAACAAATTTACATTATCGTGCAACTCAAAAAAGATAGAAATGATAGAAAAACTGAGACTCATTAATCTTGCTCCTGGTGGTGCAGCAGGTTAAAGCACAGAACTGTGAAGCTCTCCACAGCCACTGCAGAGATTGATCTCTGACCAGGGAGTGACCCACATGGCTCAGCAGATACCTGTCCCCCCGCTGCTCCCCTCAGCAGTGGATTTCAGTAGATTGACCTGTTCTGCACCCTACCCTGTCTCTAGTGAATCATCTCACCCATCTCTGGTCTGTACTTGTATGTATAAATAAATAAATCTTTAATAAAGACTCGTTAATCTTAATTTTAATTAATGGCACATTTACAAAGGAAATAGGAAAATTAGGTTATTCCTTTCTCTCACTTACATATAAAAACACAGCCTAATACCCCATCCAAAAAGCAACATAGAACAGGTTCAGTGATGCCAACCTATAGAAACTTTGGACATCTTATATTAATCTCAATTAATATAAATTTCAGAATTCAAATATAAGAGAAAAATTACAGAAAGATGATTCTAAAACCAAACCTTTTTTACCCTTACAAATAGATCTAGTTCGCAAGATTACTATTATTATTTAAATGTATTTTAAAATTTGTTTTTAAAATGGATGTGTTTCATTTCAACTATTTAATTTTCTTGAAACTGAATTTTTTCACTTGATTAGTACACTTGAAAATAGACCGACACTTGAACTATAACCATACCTTGTTGTTAAGTATACTGATTTTCATGTTTGTATACATTTAAAAAATGTGATGATTAATAGTCTATTGTCCAGAAAGAAGCACTGAAATGTTTTATTTATATATTTTTTAGTTGGATCACCGTTATAATGAATTCAAACTTCATGCAATTATGTCTGAACATAAAAAAACAATCACAGCTATCTCTTGGTGTCCACATAACCCTGATCTCTTTGCAAGTGGCGGTACCGATAATTTAGTGATCATTTGGAATGTGGCAGAACAAAAAGTCATTGCTAAGCTCAACAACACAAAAGGTATATTTATAGCTGGCATTTCTTTTATTGAATGAAATATTTCTATCTTGATATGTATTATTATTATCATTAGCTCAGATTATCAGCTCAAGTTAGAAAAATGTATTTTTCAAGTGAGTGGTCTATGGAGTTCTTATCTCACATCATAATGCATTATTTTGTGTGTACATGTATACAAAACTGAAAATTTCATGACGTTATTATAGTTAGTCGATTGATCAATGAAAAATGTAGTCAATACAAAATAATGTCATTACTATGTAAATATCAACACATTTTTCAAAATAAATGTAAATGTGGAAAATGGATGAGATATTCTTAATGAGACAAGATCATTCTTATATTCCTATATGAAACATGGAAGGATGCCACTGTGCACAAGCTAAGCAGCTCTCTTTCTTTTATTTTACATTTGGTCAGATAGACAGTCCTAGCTCACACAGATAGATCTCAGTGAATTTGAATGATACCATTTACACTCTTTCTACCTAGCATTATACCCTGTAATGATGGCCAGGTTAGGTGATCATTTTTCTGTGTTATATGTCAAAAGAATTTGAATGCTGCCCCTTCCAAAATAAGGATATTATTGTATTATCACCTAATTTATCTGCTGATTTTTTCGTCAAACACCTTATGTGCTATATTCATGGAGGAAGAGTTTTGTTTTTTTTTTTTTGTCAGCTAGATGCACCACAGTTGCTACCAGATACACAATTAAACAAGGCTCTCATAAAAATTTTTGAAATGAGTAAATGTAGTAATTGTTTTAATAAATTTTACATGTTTTTTTCTTTTGTGAAAATGTTTAAAGGCATCAGTAAGTTACTCATGCTATTCCTAAATATTTTAATTTGAAGAATAAAAGTTTAGGTATTTGTTTTCAAACACTTATTATGACTTTTTGATCATATAAACCCCTTTGAAATATCTGAGACTCTTGTTTTAGTCTCAATAAAAAATATAAGTTTGCATTAAATCAGCTTTTTTAATTCCATGTTTGAACTTCCATATTCAGTTATTGAACTTGAACCACCCTCTGTATTTTTCACTTCATTATTCTTTTTTCCTAATTAAAGGAAAATGAGCATTCATTTATTTAAATAGAAATGTTAAATTTGTCATCAACTTGTAATATATTACACTGAACCTTTCAGGAGGAAAAAACTCCTCAGCAGTGGATACTGCCTTTCTCAGAATATTGTTGGGAATATGAAATCAGTTGTTATTTGTAAGCTCTTAGAAATCCTTTTATATAATCAACCACTGTAAAAAAATGTATTCTATTAGATGACATAGTTTCTAATAGGTTCTCTTTCCTTGCTGCTTTTTTCAAAATCTTCATTCACAGCATTGCTGTGATTTTCTTTAGGCAGCCATTTTAAGCATTATCAAGTATCTTAGTCCTTATCGGGGACATTCTTTTTCTGTTAGTGGATCCCAAAACTACATCTGCTTTTCTACTAGACTTATTCAGGTATTTGTTCTTTTACTCAATCAATACATACATGAATTCCCATTATGTGCCAGGCTCTGAACTAGGCATTTCGACTATTGACACAAACTGGACTTAATTCAATGAACAGCTTTCAATTCTCTGCCCTTATCATTTCCTTATCCTGAGAAACACTATTCATCCTGTCTGTTTAAACTTTACTGCTCCTTCAAAGTTAAGATTAAATCCAATTTCTTCCCAGGACAACCATCCATCGATTCTCATACCCTTATACATTTCAAAATCATTTAGAGAAGCATGTTAGAAATAGTTTACTGGGACCTAACACTACATGCTCTGATTTGTATATTCAGCTTGATGATTCTGGTTCTATTAATTAATTTATCTGTGTTGTGAAGGTCATAATCTCTTGAGTCCTAAATTTATCATAACACATGTAATTTATTTAATCATAATTATAGTTGAAATGTTAACATTAACATTTATAATTTGTCTTTATTTTAAAAGGGACTTTTAGTACATTATTTAATTTATTAACTAACATGAAATAGATATCAACTGTGTTTAGTTATATCTATTTTATAAATGAGAAAGCAGGTTTAAAGAGGCCAGGTGATTTATTTAGTTTATCTGAGGGATATCTAAGATTTGAATTTAAATTCCTGATGTGACTTAGATTATAACATTAATCTTATTGTCACCAAATCCTTATTGCAGCATATTAATTGTTCATGCATTTAATCCTTATCTCCCCAATTTGTATTTAAGATCCACTAGTTTGTCTACCTAAAATATCTAGAGTAGCTCTCATACACAATACTCAATAATAACTTATTGTGCTATATCTTTACTAAAAGCAAGAATTCTATACATGAAAATCTAATCCTATTAGTAGTTTCAAATCTAACCATAGCAGTAGCTACATAAGTCCCCCATAATGTTTGGGGCTGCTTTTAGACCCAGTTCCCAAATAAGAAGAAACTCTTTTCTTTTTATTAGTAATAGGCATGATCATGGGTTGTAATGTACCTTAGAAATGTAGACTGCAAGTAAGATTTACTGGTACAAATTTATAGCACATCTTTGCTACAGATCTCTACTTTATTCCAGGGATGCCTGCCTCTCTGAGCTGGTGTTGGAATGCAGACGATGCTGTGGCATTTATATCACACAGAGGACCACTGTTCATCTGGACTATTTCAGGGCCAGAAAGTGGAGTGACCGTACACAAGGAAGCTCATAGCTTCCTATCTGATATCTGTGTATTCAGGTGGCATACCCAGAAAAAGGGAAAAGTTGTATTTGGTCATATTGATGGAAGTCTATCAATCTTTCAACCAGGTAAGAATTTAATTAGTAACATCTCTTATATTTCATTTCCCTTACATATGTGGTTTCTTTTCTAGGACACACGAAAGTAGCAATTTTTTTTTGAAAGTAGCAAAATTTTAAAGATTTATTTTTATTTATGTACGCATACAAGAACTGGTGTGGAAGCCAGAGGTATGGGGAGGTGAGAGGATTCCAGAGACAGAGTGGGGAGCAGAACAGGCATACTGACCAAAATCCACTGCTGAGGGGAGCAGCTGGTGAAACAGGAGAGGTCTGCTGCACCAGGTTGGTCATCTCCCAGGCCCGGGATCAAACTCCTGCTATGGTGGCTGCCAGTAGCTTGATAGGGCTGAGACTTTAACCCCTTGCACCACTGGAAGGCCACCTGAAGTGAGCAAAATTTTAACTTTAGGACAATTCTGCAAATATTATCTAACATTATAATGCTGATTCAAAATAATCATTTGTAGTAAATTTTATTAATAAGACATTATAGTACATTCAACTCGGCATGTGCATTTTACCTTGAGTTAACACAGGGAAAACTTTCTGCTTTCTTTGGTTTTGTTGTGTCAAGCTTCTCTGCCAAATCTGTTCCATCTGCTGAGCACATTCTGTTTTATAGTTGGTCAACAAGGCTCGTGGTTAAGCGACGTCGTTGATGGATGTCCTGTTTTGACCTGGTGACTATCTCTGCTCCTCCTCCATGCTTGATTTCTGGCTATGTTCCTTAGCACCAGGAAGGCAATTCAGAAGCAATAAAAATGATTACATGTTGTGTGCTCCATGTTGTGCCTCTTTGCTCTGTGGTGTGTGTCCAGATCTTGTTAGGCACATTACCCACTTCTCCCTTGGCTGGTGTACCCCAGAGATTTCCTAGGATTGTGACTTTTTTCTTGAGGCATTGGTATGCTGCCTGAGCTCTGAGGAAGGGCGTGAGGAAGGGACTATTATTGTGGTTCATGCTTCATTCTACATAATTTTCATATTTGGTAATTTGTTGTTGTGACCTTCTTATTTTTGGTATTGACTAGTGCTGTTCTTGACTTACTTTTCTTGGTAGGCATTGTAGAAGATTCTAATACAGAAGACGTTGAGACATTGTATTGTGCATCTAAGATAGAAAGCATGGAGACTTTGTATGCGTATTTTGGCTTAGAAAGAACAGGGAAACATAAAGCCACCTTTGTTTACTCTGCCTAGATTTACATCAGGATCGAAAGTGTTTTTCCACGGTCTGACCTATGTGACACCAGGAGAGGTCTTTGTTTTCCAATAACTTAAATCTCTTAGTTCTTAAAACAAATTAATTTGTGCATCTGTACCAACATTGGCAAATGCTATTTTTCTGATTCATCCACAAACTGGCTGACTGAAAACAACATAACATATTGCCTCATAATTCTAGAAGTCAGAAGTACAAAATAAAGGTGTTGACAAAGCCCTTGGAAGGCTCTAGAGAAGCTCCGGTAGCAAGCCTCTGCTGCATTTCTGGTCATTTCTTGGCTTAAGATATCACACTTCAGTTTTCATAATGGTTTCTCCCTGTGTGCGTACACGCATGTGTCTGTGACCAAATTTCCCTTTTCCTAAGGGCACAACCACATGGAATCAGGTCCATCCTAATGACGTTGCAGCAGCTTGCTCAGCCATCCCACCCCATTTCCAAAACGGCCATATTCACAATACATAGGGTTAGAACTTCAGTCTCTCTTTTGTGGGGGCACAATTCAACTGACAACGACTCAACATGGGCTTCTTGACTTCATTTATTCTACGGGATTTTTAGCAACCAATATGCAAAAAACATTGTTTCGAGTGCAATGCTGCTATGTATTCTCCTTGGCATACACATGAGCTAAAAGTGTCTGAAGGAAACATGGCTTTTTCATTCTGGCATTACAGCTTGAAACTTTGAGACTGTTGCCTCTGGACATGATGTTGCGTTTTTAGTTCAGTCTGATTTTCATTATTAGAACAAACTAATTCACCCACAGCCACATGCAAATTGTGACTTCTGCATAGAAATGCTAGTTTTCCCAACACTTTCAGAAATCAGTACTACACAAAGAGAAAACTTACAACACAATTTTTGATCTTACTTTCTTTTTAATTTTTATATTTAAGAACAGGTTTGTTAGAAAAGGGACAGAAGAGTAAACGACAATTATATAGGGAAAAGCCAGCAGGATGAGCTGCTATGAAAGGGACAAGTTTGCTGAGAGAGGCCTGAATAGTTGCAGGCCAGTGGCCAGTGGCTTGTGGCCTTGAGGAAGCTGCCTCTGCTGAGGGAGGCCAGTGCAGAGAATCCTGGCGGGTGCAGATCACAGGCAGGCAGGAGGCTGCTGCCCTGCAGAGAGAGAGAGTGGATGGAGAAAAGCACCTGCATAACACAGATGGACAGAAGGCCTGGTGCCAGTTTTTGATCACTTTTTGAGAATCTTGTTCAATATGATTTTCTTTATACTTTAATAGGTAATAAAAGTCAGAAGCATGTTCTGAGACCTGAATCTCTTGAAGGGACAGATGAAGAGGATCCAGTCACAGCCCTGGAATGGGACCCATTGTCTATAGATTATCTTCTTGTGGCTAACTTGCATTATGGAATTCGTCTAATAGATTCTGAATCACTTTACTGCATCACAACTTTTAATTTCCCCAGTGCAGCAGCATCTGTCCAGTGCTTAGCCTGGGTTCACAGTGCTCCTGGGATGTTCGTAACTGGAGGTAAATGTACCCTGCTCCTTAAAATGTTCCTTGTATGCGTATTCTTGAGTTGCATCAGGGAAGTGATTTTTTTTCAAGATTTTTAATTTTTAATTTAGTTTTAGTTTATAAATAATTTTTTCATCTCAGTTGTAATTTCTGGGGACTTCCCACCACCATTTCATCCATGTGCCATCACCATAGTCCCACAAGATCAAAACTGGGATGGGAATAACACCCTTTTATAGGTTGATTTCGTGTAAAATATGATACTGTTGCAGGTAGTATTATTTATGATAGTAAATGCCAATCTTGCTCTTATTAATACTGTGTATCAGAAGATAGTGACAAACAAAATGAAATTGAGATCCAGTTTCCTGGTAATAAGTCAGGATAGATTATAAAGGTACACACATTGGTGCATGTCTGCAGTTGTGTGTGTACACAAAAGCAAAGACAATTCAATTGCAGGCATGCAGGATGACAGTAACAGTTCTGACCAGAAAACCAGTTTACCAGAGTGGGAGCCCTGTAAGCTTCGCTGATCAATCTGATAGTCGGCAACCACATGTTCTGACATAGACCCAAGCCTTTTGACCTAGGTTGGAAATGAAAGTGGAGTTTCTCACCATGAATTGAAAGGATACTCCTTCATGGCTTCATAATCACAAGAGCATTAGCAAGGCTGAGCACTGACTAGAAATGGGAAGATGGGGAATTTAAATGACTGTAATTTACCACTTACTTAGGTTCAGAAAGAGAGGTTGCTGAAGAGACAAAATATTTCAGCTACTGCTTAAATACTTCCTGTGTTTATTTAGTATAAAATAAAAGAAAGAAGTTGTTTTTTTTTAATATTTATTTATTTATGCATGCAGAACTGGGGTATAGGCCAGAGGTGCAGGGGCAGTGAGAGGATTCACCAGAGACAGAGCTGGGAGCAGAACAGGCTGAGTGACGAAGTCCACTGCTGAGGGGAGCAGCGGGCGGGTCAGGAGAGGTCTGCCACGCCACGTGGTCACCTCTGGGCCTGGAATCTAACTCCTGCTGTAGTGGCTTTAGCTTTTTAGTCCTGCATTTACCCGCTGCACCATCAGAGAAGGCCAAAAGAAGTTTTATCCTCAGAACATTTTTAAAGCCAGTCTTTACTTCGTTAAGCACTTGCATTAAATGTGGAAGTAAGTGGGTTCTTATTTATGTATTTTAATTCTCTTTAATGTCAAACGGATATATGTAGTGATGGAGGTGAGAATATTCCTGTATGTTATTATTATTGAGACATAATTCACACACCATAAAATTAAGCATTTTAAAGTATACATTTCAGACCACAATTCCAACACATTTAACCATTCCCCCAACATATACTGTACTCATTAGCAGTCACTTTTTGTTACAGTTTTCCACAGTTCATACTGATTATCATCTACTTTTTCTCTGTGGGTTTGCCTATTCTGGATATTTTGTTTATTTGTGTATTTCAGATTTATTTATCTCTGCATACCAAACTGGGGTATAGGCCAGAGGTGTAAAGGCAGTGAGAGGATTCACCACAGACAGAATGGGGAGCAAAACAGGGAGATTGATTGAAATACACTGCTGAGGGGAGCAGGAGAGGTCTGCTGGGTCACTGCTGGATGGTGTTGTAATTTCATTTTTAATCGTTTGAGTAACTACTAGACTAGTTCCCAAAGCAGTGGTCAAGTGGGGTTATTGAAAGGTAGGGAACGTTCTGCTTGGTTTTCAGGTAGAGTAGACAGTTCTTGTTTGGCTGCAAGAGAGCTAGGGAGCAGTTTATAAACATTTCAAAAGAGGAAGTATTTATTACTGGGTATGAAGTTTTCTGTGACTGACTTTTTCTTAGAGCAGGTGTGCGAGAAGGGTACTTTTTTGTAATTAAATTGTCATGATCTTTGTGGGGCTAAGCTGTCAAAGCAGGCATTCCCCTTCCCTAAAAAGTACATGGGACAGAAAAAAATTAAAAAATGGTTAAACATTGTTTGAAGAATATAAGTAGTGATAAAACTCTTGCAAATTGAAGTTGTAATATTTTTATATCAGGCATTTTATGCTTCAAATAAAATTTGTAAACATAATGAATGCCTTTCTCTTCGTCTGAATAGATTCTCAAGTGGGCGTTTTGCGTATTTGGAATGTTTCCAGAACAACACCTATTGATAATTTTAAATTAAAAAAAACAGGATTTCACTGCTTGCATGTGCTTAATTCTCCCCCAAGAAAAAAATGTAAGTAAAAAAAGAATTAATATTAGTATTTAAAAATAGATTTGCTCCTATAAAATATGTTACCAAAAAGCAAAATTTAAAAAGCCTTTGACAATATCGATACCACACAATATCTAACATCTATAAATTGAAAATATTTATAGTCAAGTTACATTTGTAAATACTATTAAATACATTTAGATTAAATAAGCTTATCTGAATGAGAGGCTATTTTATGCCTGTTTTACCATCTTTATGTTTTATACAAAGTTAAAATAACCTAGTGTGCAAAATGTTAAAGCTAAAACATATATTCTATTTTGGAATACCTGTTGTCTCAATTAGTAGGATTATGGGTGACCTATACCTTAGTATTTTGTGTATTTATTCAAATTAGTTTTTATTACTTTCCTAGTAAGTAAAAATAATAGTACACATTTCAGTTATTTATTAGAAAAAAAAATCTACAGTTTGGGAGGAGGGACTTAGGATTTGATTTTTATAATGAGAGAAAAGAAATTCATTTGCTATTAAATCAATCATGATTACTCTGTGTGGTTTCTAATATTCTCATTCATGTGTAGACCATAAAAACAAGGGATGAAGATCGAAAATCTAGGGTGTTCATTTCTCCTTTCTCACTACTCTGTGTATAACATAAATGGATCATTGACAAGTGCTGTTCAAAGTAATGTAAATTATGGTTAACACATTATGTATCTCATTTAGTGGGCAACCATAAATAGTTGGAAGTCTCTGTATTTGGACCTCTAGGCTTTTCACGGAATTATTCTTTTCTTGAGAATATTACTACTACAAAATTCTGGGAACTAAAGGATCTAGAAACATTAGGACTGAATAATTATGCTCATTGGGTTAGAAATGAATGGAGGAGAATTATAAGAAGAAAAGTTCTAAGAATTACGAGAGAAAATGTGTTTGTGTAAAAACTAAAAGTATTATATAGACATTTTGAAGGAAGATTCTAATCCAAAAATAGCCATACTGTGTTTTAATTTATGGGGGATAAGAAAACAAGGATTCACAGCATGTGATTCCTCACATACTAATTTTTATCCATTTCACTCCATCTGCACTCCTGTCCACCTCTTTTCCAAATAGCATCTATATATATTTGTGTGTATGAACATGGAAATTCTTTCTCAGTGCTGCACGAGTCCTTCTCTGGCAAGAACTCCCCTGACCGTTGCTTTAATGACTTACTGATATAAATTCGGAATAAAAGAAGACAAACGGGCATCTGTATAAATCAGCCCTGTGATTTCATTCCAGCACATGAGATGCTGTTGCTATGCATGTTTACCAATTTATATTTTTTCTTTTAGTTTCAATCCAGTCTCCAACTAAAAATCATTATACATCCTCGACCAGCGAAGCGGTTCCTCCCCCAACTTTGACACAGAATCAAGCATTTTCTCTCCCTCCGGGCCACGCAGTGTGCTGTTTCTTGGATGGTGGAGTTGGCCTTTATGATATGGGAGCCAAGAAGTGGGATTTTCTTCGGGACTTGGTATGTCCGTGTTCAGTTTTGCATTTATGTATGTTTATTTTGTGTAAAGCGCATCACATTTTCTTTTACTTTTGGTTTAATTTTATTAAAATGATTTTTTATTAAGAATTACATGTTGAGGACTCTTCCTGGTGGTGCAGTGGGTTAAAGCTCAGCCCTAAGAAGTTAAAGCCACTTCAGCATGAGTTCGATCCCCACCCCGGAGTGACCCACATGGCAGCAGACCTCTCCTGACCCGCCCGCTGCTCCCCTCGGCAGTGTACTTCGTCGATCTGCCTGTTCTGCTCCCACTCTGTCTCTGGTGAATCCTCTCACTGCCCCTGCACCTCTGGCCTGTACCCCAGCTCTGTATGCATAAATAGATAAATCTTAAAAGAAAACAAAAAAAAGAATTACATGTTGGGACTTTATCTTGGATGCATGAGACATTTTAGAGAAATGTATGGGATGCTGACAAAATTACAACAGTTCTTTAAATTTAAATATGAAACATCTTTTTTTATTAATGACTATTTAGCTTATTATTATTTCACATGGTTGGTAATAGAATCATTTTTGTGTGAGCCATGTTAATTATTTCCATATTATAGTATAATTACATAGCTGTACTATATTTTGAAAGAAAAATGAGGAATAGAATATTTTCAGAAGGAAAGACAAGTATATGTCTGCCAACTATTTCAAACCTTATTCTTCTCATTTACTATATGAGCAAGATTAGTTTAGTGTTTTCTGAATTTGATTCTATAATCAAGTCTGATTCTCTGGACTTGTTTTTATGATTATTAAGCCTTTATATAAAATAAAATATAGCCGCATTGAGAAATGACATTTCTCTTGTTGCGTTCCACTATGTAAGCACTACCTGGCAAGAATTTATTAATTTTTGTTGAATGAATGAGTGGGGGAGTGAGTGAATTAATGAAGGTATGCAGTCATATATTTTCCCAACATGTTATTGTTTCTTCTGCTTGGGGTAGGCATTTCATCCCCATTCCCCAACGCTTTGGTGAAGACAAATTGTAATGCTGTGTAACTTAAATATTTAAGTTGGAGTTTGGTTCCCCCATAGGAATTTAATAATTAGTTCCAAAAATAGGTATAAGTTTCTCTAGATACTACTTTACAGATTTATGGGATGTTTAATTTTAATTCATCATGTTAACAGGAACCTGTTATTCCCAATGACACAGTATAAACTTGCTAGTATATTTTGAATCAAGTTTCATTAAAAATGGACGCATTGGAGATTCTAGCAGAGTGTTTGGTACATGAAAATCAGGAAAAAAAATTTTGTTTGCACTGAGTTTAGCTTGAAAGTGAATGTCATGAATCTCTATGTATTCAATTGCTGATCCTGAGGAACTATGATTGAATAAAATCTAGTCCTGTCTAAAATAAAAAGTGGTAACAATCTAGAGAACTGCTAACCACAGCGGTGATTCCAAATTTGTGTTTGCTTGTCTCTGCATTATTGCTTTACTTTTAGAAAACTATGGTACATGTTTCAAATTGAACATGTACTATGATTTGTTTATTATTAACCTGAATTTTCCTCAGGTGTGGTGATTTCATTGTGTTATATTCTTAGGGACATGTGGAAACGATCTTTGACTGCAAATTCAAACCTGATGATCCCAATATTTTAGCAACAGCCTCATTTGATGGCACTATAAAAGTTTGGGACATAAACACGTTGACAGCAGTGCACACTTCCCCAGGGAATGAAGGAGTTATTTACTCCCTTTCATGGGCTCCAGGTAAGAAGTGTTTTGTTAATATTGTGTGTACAATTAAATGACTTTCTAAAATTTTATTTGAATTACCTTCTTCCTAAAAATGTCATCTACTTCCAAATGATTATAGAGGCAAATTTGTACCAACCTATCTGTCTGTTCCAATTTTATAGTTTTAGAACAGACTACCTGCATAGGCACTTTGATTTCTGGGCCCTTCTATATGACAGCCTTAGTAAATTAGAATGAACTTGACCTAATTTTGTCTGCATTTGCATAGCTATATTTCGTGGAAGGTATATTTTTGTATGACAGATGTTTCCTTAAATTTTTTCATATGAATCAAATTCATATAAAATTTATTTTCTAACGATTATAATACATATTTTCACAAATCTATTTATATATCTAAATGATTATATATCAAGTAACAGCTATGACCATGAAATTCTATGTAAATTCCACTTTTATAATACTAAATAAACTTTGTAACATAATAAAGAATTTTCTTTGATCTGAGAAGGATGAGATACCTTTCCTATGCACAAAGGAGAGAAGGAATGTTCTATGAAACTTCTTATATTTTCTCCCAAAACATCAATTTCTCATTATGAATATGCTCACGTATCAAAATGAACTCTCCCCTTTATAAGGCATGTAGAATGCTTCACTTGTTTGTGACAATATTAACATATTAATGTAAAACCCACATTATAGTTTATTATAGCTTTTCTTCTCAAAGACAAAAATTCTTAACCCAGAATCTATGAATCCTTAAGGATTTTAGACATTTTCAGAAAACCTGGGACTCTCTTGGAAATTTATGCATCATCTTTAGCTTATGTGTATATGTGCCTCTACTTGTCATGGAATTTCATAATAATCAGACTTTCAAAGCACATAAAGGTTAAGAGCTAGTGCTTGGTGTATCCCTTTTAATACAATGAAAAAATGTAGACAGAGGTTTTACCAGTGGCTTATAAAAGCAGGAGCTGTTCCTTTAAGTAGAACATAGTGTCACAATGGCAACAAAAATAATTGATAAAGAATCTTGCTTAACTAGTTAAGCAGTGAGGTGCAAAAAACCTAGTTAGTTCTCTCAGTTTGCTCCCTTTACCCCTTCCATTTCTGTTTTGTTTTTTTGATGATAACCACCTTTTATTAAGGAGGGCCTGAGCTTGAAGAGGGTAAGTAATTTGTCCAGATCATATACATGATCAATAGTGGTCCAATTAAAATGTGAACAGTTGTCATTTTGACTTTGGAACCTGTGTTCTGGCCATCACAGGAATAAGCATCCTCACAGCAGCCCCCCTAGTTAGGGGTCACAGTAATAATAGCACCTGGCTATGGCAGGAAGCAGCTTTATAACAGACACTAGCTGACATTCGTCCTCTTGCAAAGTGTATATGAATCTCATACCTGAAACTTAAATCAGAACACAAGGGGCCTACTCTTACATAAAGCATTATTTCACTCTCTATATTGAGAATTTGACTCAAACAAGTAAAAATGTTGGTAAATGGCATTCTGTCATTATAGCCATGTTTTACTGTTGAGTCATGATTTTTAGGTCAGCATGGCTGCAATTTTAAAAACTCACAAAAATTGGCACAGATGGGTGTAGGGCATAGGTAATTGCATAATTTCCTCTGTTTTTAAAGAAGATGCCATCGGAAAGGGCAAAAAAGGCAATTAATAATGGAATCTGTTCCTTTTAATGCCAGAATCTGACAGGGGAGGAGAATGAAGATACTAGAAATATGGTGAAGACTTTTTTCAGCTGTTATAATCATTAATGACAGCGTACTTCCTCCAAATGTTTACTCTTTGGTATCAGGTGATGCCTGCTCCTTTCTTCTACTGAAGAAAGCCTTTTACATGTCTTGCAAAAAATATTAAGTCCTTGATAATCTGCTAATTTAGCAGCACTTTTATTTATTTTTATTTTCAAAAACAAAAGCAGTATTTGTATTTTTGATAAAGATGGAATTACTGACACAATTACTTATCTAATGGTTAAAAAAATACTGGATGGTCAGACAAATGTTCATACTGAATGGATATGTGGTAATAGTGAAGAATTATAATAATTTTTATATTCATAATTATGATACTGTAGACAGGAAAATTCAACACTCCCTGTCTTCTGAATGCCATACTGAAGTATTTATTGATGAAATGCTATCACGTCTGAGATTTACTCCAAAAAAATCAAGTAAGAACTATATTCAAAACACAACTGGCCATAGGTTGATAATGGTTGAAACTTATGAGATATTTTACTGGTATTGGCATACATTTGATAAATTCTATTACTAAAAAAATTAAAGAACTATTTAGTAAATTTCTAGTCTACTTTTTTCAAAACTGTATTTTTAAAAAGAATTATATCTGTGGCAAACATCAGAGATAATGTGTAACCAATTGTTTCCCAAGGTGATTTATATTGTATTGCTGGAGCAACTTCCCGAAATGGTGCTTTTATTTGGGATGTTAAAAAGGGCAAAATGGTACAACGATTTAATGAGGTAAGATGTATTTATTGCTAACTGAATAACATAATATCTTAAACTGGTCCATAGTTTTAAATGCTTTTCTGCATTAATAGTTCGTCAGAAGGTAGCATTAGTGTTGTCTCAAGTTAGAGGAAAGTTCACAAGATATACACAAGCTAAAATCAATTGTGAAAAATATAGCTGAGTCTGTTACATAGAATTTCACCCAAAGATTCAGAAGAATTTTAAATCATCCTCCACAAAATTATATAAGCAAACTTCCAATAGCTGAAAGAAGACTAAATTCAGAACAAGCGTCAAATCCGCTACTAATTAGTTCTTGACCTGTGCAGAATAATTTTATTTCTCTGAACCTGACTATTTGCCTATAAATTGGGTATATAATTTCTTTATTTCCTTCAAGTTCTCAAATTCTGCTAGCATAGCCAACCCTATATCCTCCCCTCATCCTAGTTGTTACAGATTTTACTTTTATTTTTGCTTGCAATTAAATCATCATCCCACATTTTACTATGTCCCATTAATATAGGAAAAACATGCCTGACTTCATTGTGATGTGTTAGTATGAGTTGAGGGAAAATCTGAGCACTCTCCACTCTCTCCAGTCTCTGTCCTAAAATTTCATTCATGTCAAGTGACAACTGTTGAAGTCTATTAAATATCCGATTTGTTTTGGAAATTGTGTATTTGAGACTTTGAAACTTTTTATACAAAAGACCATTATCCCTGGGAGGATCAGGTACCCTTGAACTTCTGGGGAGTGCTGAAGTAGTGTAGCAAATACAAAATAGCAGAGGAACTTTACCAACCATCAGTAAGCAATTCAGCTCTCAAAAGAAGAAACATGGACAAAGTTACATCTTTTCCTTTATCTACATAGCAAAATATTTTCAAATCAGTAGTGTCTCCAGCCTGCCCTCTGCCCCCCTCACTGGAACAATACTTACTTCATCATAAAGAGTGATATAAGAGGCAATGAACCTAAAAAAGAAACTTTTGACCTACATTCAAAAAGCTTGCCACACGTGTCAAATCTGTGGATTTCTTCTGTGACATACTGTGACCTAAATATATGCCAGTGAGTACTAGGACAATCCTATCTTGACTCCAGCATCCCAGCAGCTTAGCACGGAAGTCGTGGCCATTGATGTCTACTCACAAGCTGCTTATCATACTTAACCCAGTAGCAAAATTGCACAAAGTTAAGATGAAAATAAAGGGGAAATTAACTAAATCATAGATGCCTTAAGCCATTGTGCACGTTCCTTGGAAATATACAAAAATAACAGAAAGCTTCTGCTCTTTCAGTGGAATGAGTAAAGGGACTATTTCCATGCCTGTCTTTATGAAAGACTCCTAAGAGTTAAAAACAGCTAGTAGTTAAGCAGCCTTCATCCTCAGGATAATAAGTAATGTTAGACCCCTCTGAATGGCAGCACTATATAAATTTGAAATGTTGTTAATTTCCATTTGGAAACATTGATTACAACCTTTATTCAGCTGACACACTTGATGAATTTTATCCCTATGTATAACATATTCCTTGTGTTCTTGAAAATTCTCATGATACAAGCCGTGACTATGTACAGTTACTCTTCCCCAGTAGAAGAATATAGATAAATATAAAGTGATTTATCATAAGGGAATCTCAAATCTGTTCTCCTCTGTTTTTATAACTATATAACTTTGAAATTTATATAATTTAATGGAGGTTAATAATAATTACTTGCAGTATTTCTTAGACTTCATAGCTATCATTAGGCTCAAAAGCAGGTAGATGATTATCTTCACCTCTGGACTGGTGTTTCTAAGAAGAAGCATTACACATAGATCTAATGCTAAAGGTAATTGAAGAAGCAGATTCTGACTCCTTTCCTGTGCCCACACACATGTAAATAGAGCTCCTCATTTTATGCCTTAAACCACTGGTGTGTTTCTTACATGCAGCAGTGCTACCTTTTCCTAAAGTGTGTGGTCAGCTTTCTGCTGCTGACAGCGGTCTCTGTTAGCATCACCTAATGAGATTAAGCTTCTAATAAAAATAGTAATCCATAGTAGTAATAAATAAGAGAAAAAAGGGGTGAATTATTTCTTATTGATAGGTATTTTGCATTTTTTGAAGCATGGAAAAAATGGAATATTCTGCATTGCCTGGAGTCATAAAGATTCCAAAAGAATAGCAACCTGCAGTGGTGATGGTTTCTGGTAAGTGCTTTGGAATTAAATTGCAGTCTAGAAAAGATATATTTGCTAGTTCTAATTATATCCTGTTGGCATATGCATTAAAATATTTGATGAGATTTTATTTGTACAGCTCTACCAAGGGCCATAAATTGTATTCATAAGCTCACATATGCATATGCTATATTGCTTTGATATATATATATATATATATATATATATGAATGTAGCATTGTTTAAAAATAAATAGATCAGTATTTCTTTCTGAATACCACCTGAATTATTGCTAAAAGACTCAGTTGATTCAAAGAAACTAAGAACTTCACAGTTTAAATAATTCTCATCACATATTTGAGAGAATGACATGTCATTTTTCAAGTGATTCAAGAGATATCAAGTACCCTAGAAACTTGTTCACAGTTTTGTAGGTAGTATTATTTATAAAAGGATAGAAAGCTTTTGCAAGGAGGAATAAGGAAACTATGTGAGAAATGCCTTTTTTGAGAAGCTTACTTTTCTGACCCTGTGTTTTAGAAATGTTTTCTCTTAATTCTGCTAAGTTCCCAGAGAAAAATAGATTTTCAAGTAAAGATATGAAAGGAAAGCATTCCTTTTGGATTGAAATTGTTTTTAATAAGTTGATAATACTTTGTAGTTTTGGGTGCAGTCATATTTGACAAGCGGTATCAACAACATTGACAAGGTTGTTGAGAATATAGTGAAGTTGATCTCCTGTTAGTTTTGTCATATCCATCCCAGTTTGTTCATTCCTCTCTTTTTAATTTAAGTGGAAAAAACAGTAGTTATGGAGACCAAAAACCTTTTTACCAGGAAATTAAAATTTTTGCCTTGAAAAGAACAATTTACTGATTGATAGATACTAAAAGATGAGAGATGTGCCTTAGTTTTATTACATAATTAACTTTGCATGACTTTTAAGGACACTCTTTATTTGATCAATAAAGTAGTCAATCTCCAAACATGTGTAGGCACAGGTTAAAGCACACCACTTAGCTTAGAGGCTTGGATAGGCCTCATGACGCTTAAGGGGATCATGAGGTTGAAGAGGACAGCTGAAACCTTGTAATTTATACAGAACTTCTTTTTTCCTAATGCTATCAATATCCCTTCCATTTGGTATAATAGAGCTTCCATATGTGTAGTTAAAATGTATAGGACCCCGCAGAGAGGAGGTTCCTCAACTTTCTAGTTGTACCGTGAGAATCTGGTACAGGCAAATGTAATTATAAATACCTTGTTTTCTATATAAATTTTGAACTGCTAAGTTTTGAAGCTAAAAATCTAGTGCATGTTAGTTATATCATTGCCTAGTACATGGCTAGTTATATCATGATTGAAATAACACTTTCCCTCAGTCAAAAAATAGCCTAAAGAAATAATTCCCAAATGAAAATCAATTACTCTTAAATTGATTTGAAAGGATTACTATAATTAATATTGTGCGAGTAAATATGTTCATTATAATTTGATATTGTTTCACTTCTAAATTTTCCCTGCGCTTAGCAAACAGAGTCTTTGTCCTGAAATACTTGTATTTGAATTACACAGTTCTGACTGGTTCCCTTGGGTAACATATCTAGATCTTTTCTTTTTTCCTTTTACATATTATAATAATTTCAGCATTATTCGAACAATCGATGGTAAAATGATACACAAATACAAACATCCAGCTGCGGTTTTTGGTTGTGATTGGAGCCAAAACAACAAGTAAGTATTATTTTTGGAAATGAGTCATAATTTCATTTTGGAGATTTTAGATAAACATAAAGCTTAATGTTATTCTCCTGAATAATACTCATCTCTCTTTTTAGAAAATACTCCCTTGCTTAGGTTTGCCATTTATTGTTTATTTCAGTCATCTCTTTGTGTCATCTTTCACAAAGTTTTTACTTGATTTAAAAATACTGATTGCCTGCTTTCAGGACTACTTTCTGATGTTTTAGGAAAAAAAGCATACAGCTAGCTAATGAACAATGGACAGAAGCCCAATCTGTGAGTGACTTCTATCATAGAAATGTGACCTTTTGTTTAAACACTTTTAGGAATCTATGCAATGGTATTGTCCATTGCCCGCCAGCTAATGCCAATGTCTCAACTTGGGGGACTTCCCAGGATGTTGAACTTCTGTGGGTGGTTTTGGAAGGTCAATCTTGCTTTAGGAGCCTAGCATTTACCATGTGAACATCAACTCAATTTTAAAATAAAGCCAATTCAGACTTCTATTAATAGTGATCCTCTAACTTATTTTAATCCCAAAAATCTTAGATTTGAAACTTCTCTTGAATTGGATATAAATATTTTTTAAACTCAAACTATGCAAAGATACTGTGAAAACAATGTGAATTAGTTTGTGCTTTTCTATACTGCATGTGGGAAATATGCAAACTATATATAGAGCGACACAACATACAGATTAAAACTATTATACTTTTGCTCTGATTCAATTACATATTATACAAAACTGTGAATCTATGTATTTCAGTAAATGCAAAATTAATAACACACTGTTAGTAGTTATATGCAAAATGAGCTCATAACCAGCTCATCCCCCAGTATTCACCCACTCTGTGGCAGGTAATGCTAACCCAAATCTGCTAAGGCCAGACCCTTGGACTTTTCTTTTATAGCATACTTTACACAATCTCTCAGTTGCTATTTCCGGTCCATTCACATTCTCATCTAGATAAGCTTTCGTTTTTTCCCATCCATAGCTCAGTCACTAAACGCTTTACTTTAATTTGTTTTTGGACTTGCGAAAAGGCTTTCTAAATCAATTCCAGAATGCACACCCTTTATCGCCTCCTACCTCACCACCCCACTTCATGGTATAGCAGTCAAAATGAATATTTAAAAACAGATAACAGTGCTTATACTACTGAACCCCTTCAGTGATAAAATGCAATCTTAGCAAGCTCTGTAAGGCTTCCCATTATAATCTAGTACCTTTCTATTATTAATCTCATTGCAAGCCTTCTTACCCCTTTTTCTTTGCAGTCAGCTACAATGGCTTTCAGTTTCTTGACCTAGCCAGCTCATTTTCACCCCAAGGCTTTCATGAATTACCTTATATCTGATCAACAGAATAATTCCATATTATAATTTTTGTTAATAAGTATTTGGCCAGTTGAAATAAAAATTAGCCATCAATGTAATGTGCTTGGTTGGTTAAAAAAGTTTTTTTCCTAAAATCAGTGATACTGGAAGTCCTCTGTACTTAACTACTGTACTCATTGCCAAATATACTTCATAAATTTCATTTTTCCTTTAAAATCCTATTTTTAATTATTCTGATTATTGTTTAATATTATATATATATATATATAACATAATTATTTTGTACATTTCTTTCATCTCAGTTGTAATCCTTGTAGATATCCCATCACCATGGTGCGCCATCACCATAGTCCTGTGCGCTTCCTGCACCAGTTTGGATCTGATTCTCCCCTCCAGTCCCATAGAGTAGCTCTGGTTTATAGTTGCCTGTTGACTTTATTCTGATTATTGCATTGATATTCCACTTAACATTTTAGAAGATAAGAAAAGTCACCATGAACTTACTCACAAAGTGTTTTCTGAATTTGTAAGTGCTGTTGGCTTGCATTCTTTGAATGATGATTATTTTATTTCATTTACTCTTACCTACCTATACATGTATGCGATCTGCTTACATGTAAATATTTGCATTATGCAAAATGTATTTTCTCACCTGTAGAAACTCACCCATGTCTCAGTGGCTGTGGGAAGAGGTAACCTGCACACGTAGAGACTGGCATGCCATTTCACAAATTGCTGCCTTTCTGCAGGCAGGCTTGCAAAAACAGGATTGTGACCCATGTGGCAAAAATCAGCAGTTTGAGATATAGGGAAGGTTTTGACATGTGACATTCTTTCCAAAGTGTATGACTTTCTTTTGATACATTAGAGTGTGAGTACTTTTTGTATGATTGTTTAAATAAAGGTTCTTTTGGGTGATTGTCCTGGCATGTGTGTGATTTCCACAGGTCTGCTTCCTATACTCATAATTCCTTTCTGACCAATATTCTACTTGTGACCATGAATGTGTAAATAGTTGGACCTCTGGAGAGTAATGAGCAAAGATCATTAATAGGTCATATCATGTGTTTTATTTCCATAGTTATATCAAATGGTTAAGCATTTCCACTTGGGAAAATCACCAGAGACAGCTGGAAAACCAGGACTGTGAATGTCACGTGGCTTGCCACCAATTCAAGGGGGAGTGTTGGGATTTGTAGCCATGACACAAGAACGGTTTACAGGTGATCAGGACATGTAGTAATGAATAATTTGCTACTAGCCAGCAAGCAGGTAGCACTGGTCACCAATGGGAGGCTTTTCTTAAGACCCAAAGTTATAAAACATAAAGTCCTGAGACTACTAATGAAATTGTGGGTCTGGACTATTTTTCATATTTTAATGTGCCATTGACAATGTTACAGAGACATGATAGCTACAGGCTGTGAAGACAAAAACGTCCGTGTCTATTACGTAGCCACCAGTTCCGATCAACCATTGAAAGTATTCAGCGGGCACACGGCCAAAGTGTTCCATGTCAGATGGTCTCCCCTGAGGGAAGGAATTCTTTGTAGTGGTTCTGATGATGGGTATGTATTTGTGGACACTTATTTTCTAGTTCTTAAAAAATCAAACTAATAATAGTAGTAAAATTATAAACTAATAATAGTAGTTTCAATGTCATGAGTCCAGCTAGAGAAGTAATTTCAATTTGATATAAGAGAGATTCCACACTAAAAACCTAATTTTACTGGGAAGAAGATGAAGAGATGGTTGCTATATTGATAAATGTATGAACATGAGTTCATTTTTCATATAATAGCAATCATCATCCATCTAAAATTTTCATAATGCATAAATAATCCAAGCACTCAAATTATTGTATTAGTAGTCATATTTTCTCTTTGACTTTTCATGTCATCTTGAGAAAAATATTTAACATATAAACTGTTGAATAGTATATTTAGTATCAGTAGTAAATGAACAGTATAGCAAGAGAAAAAAATACATTGGAATAGACTAGCTCTAAATTATTAAGTACTCATTTTCATCTGAGAGAAGCGTATGCCCTGAAACATAACATCTTTCTTCAATAGATAATCTTTGTGCTCTGTTAATAATGTTAATGCTGTAGATAAATTAACATCTGAATGTTGTTATGTACATAATCTGCTTTCAGTTCTGTTCGGATCTGGGATTATACTCAGGATGCCTGCATAAGTATTCTCAGTGGACACACTGCACCAGTGAGGGGCTTAATGTGGAATACTGAGATTCCCTACCTGCTAATATCTGGCAGCTGGGATTATACTATAAAAGTATGGGACACTCGAGAAGGAATTTGTTTGGATACTGTATATGACCATGGTGCAGATGTATATGGTAAACTGTTTTTTTTTTTTCATTTATTTGTTACTTTGCTACTAGCAATATTTATCCATTCTGAGCAATGTAATATTTTTTAAGAGTTCTTGTATTGTTTCATTTTCAAACAGAATTTTTCTCATGATTCATTACACTATATTTTCTGTTTGACCAATTGAATATAGTTTAAATATTTTCATGCAGTACCATTTGCTTTTGAATGACTATTTATTTCTGTCATCATATGTACAGAACATGCTAAATAATTTGGTAGAATCTAGTATTAGTTGCAGCCAATATTGAACCTTTCAGTCATTTAAAACAATACTGTAGTTTTATGAGGCATATATAAAAAATACTTAATTCAGGCCCTCCCTGGTGGCGCAGCAGGTTAAAGCACAGCACAAAGAAGCTAAAGCCACTTCAGTGCGAGTTCGACCCCCGCCCTGGAGGACCCACATGGCGTGGCAGACCTCTCCTGACCACCCCACTGCTGCCCTCAGCAGTGTACTTCGTCGATCTGCCTGTTCTGCTCCCCACTCTGTCTCTGGTGAATCCTCTCACCGCCCCTACACCTCTGGCCTGTACCCCAGTTCTGTATGCACAAATAAATAAATCTTAAAAAAAAATATGTGAACTTTGACAATCCCAATGACACACTTGGTAGCTGAGCTGTGTCCCCTGAACTGCCAGATGCAGGGTGGGGTGGGTGCGCATGTCCATAGTCATGACTTCAGGAAATCAAGTCGGTTTCCTGTTTTGCTTAGTCATAATGGTTATAAAATTTGGATCATAGTGAAATGTAAGTGGTTAGAAGGTTAAAAAAAAGACACAGTGTGAATAATTGTAAATACTTGAAAACAATTTACCAAATTAAATATCAGGATAATAGTACTATAATTTAATATGTACAAAGCATTACAGCCCTTTTAATCTTTCCTTCAACTTCTGTGATTTCATTTGCCAACCTGAAAATCAATTCAAAGTAGTATGTTTAGATATTTATGTTTTTTTAATATTTACTTCTGTCACAATAGGTGTGTTTTTCCATCAGGTCTAACCTGCCATCCGCGTCGCCCCTTCACGATGGCCTCTTGCTCCCGGGACTCAACAGTGAGACTCTGGTCACTAACAGCTCTCATCACTCCTTTACAAATAAATATTTTGGCAGACAGATCTTGGGAAGAAATTATCGGGAACACTGGTATTGGAAATATTTACCTATGAATTTTATTTCAAGATGATATTTTATAAACAATCTTTGTTTTTTTACCAAGTTATGTCTTTTTTCCAGATTATGCTATAGAACAAGGTACTCCTCCTCTATTGTGTGGTAAGGTGTCAAGAGACATTAAACAAGAAGTAGAGAAACTCACTGGTAATCCTCGAATGAAAAAACTGAGATGGTTTTCAGAATGTTTATCGGTAAGTATATAGGAATTAAATATGAACCTTTGCCCCTGAGCCAAAATGGATCATGACAACCTTTTTTACTGTTACCATATCTGCATGTATCATCTCTACTGCAGCAAGTTTCTTTGAACATACTCTAAGCAGTACCAGGAAGCAATAGAAACGGGAAATAATAAAGGACATAAAATATAGTATTATTTTGTTTATTGAGTTTTAATTTTAGACTTGCAAATGTTATTTTTGAAGCAGCAAATGCTGTGGGGGGTTCATTTATTCTATCTTCGGTTATTCTCTGTTGACTATTTTAGCCTCCAGGTGGCAGTGACAATTTATGGAACTTAGTTGCTGTGATAAAAGGGCAGGATGATAGCTTACTTCCTCAAAACTACTGTAAAGGAATAATGCACTTGAAACATCTGATAAAATTCAGAACAGTAAGTATGCAAATGTGATGTCCTCAAGCAAAAATCATGTTTGCCTTTTCACTATTAATATATCGAATTTTTAAAATTATATGATTAACGTTGATAGTGTTAAATAAGTGAAGACTGAGGGATTAAATCTTTGTTCTAAATCAGTCCGGGAGAGTATGTATGTTTGGAGCAGGTTAAGGTAGGTATGGTTTTCACGGATTGAATCTCATGAGAATCTACAGAGTTTATTTGGAACTCCTTGAAACACTTTCTTTACCAGTTTACCAAATGACTATGCATACAAGCTGCTCCATGTTAGTCTCAGAGCCTATATTCTGGCATATATTTTATTGAAACTGTTCTCATACTTGGAGCAACATATCCAGTATCAACAGCAACAAGTCCAAGACCCAGAAAGAAGAAATGCCTTGTGTGTGCGATGAAATGTCAATAGTTAACTGTTAGAGACTGGAGAGAATTAAACCAGTGATAAGGATTTGATGGTCATAAGAAACGGTTGTTTCATGAAGAAGTAGTAATTTCTTAAATTACAACGCAGTCTCCTCATGATTATGCCTTTGACCTTTGGACAGCGTGGGAGCCAGACTGCTCCAGTAACTTTTAAATTTCCATTAGAAGTTTCTATTTGCCTTTTTACTAGTTATCAACCACTGTAGCCCTACCTTTTGGCTTCTGGATTTCTGTAGAATATAAACCAGCATAGTTTTAAGGACAACAGAATTCAGCTTCTCACCACTCTCTTCTCCAACTTATACCAAATGTTATACTAAAAGAGGTATATTTTATAGAGAAAAAGCAATTTTTTAATATTTAATTTCCAGTGTTTTGCGCTTTTAAAATATGTCATCACCAGATCTTGTATAACAACATTTAGAAGCTTTTCTTTTTAACCAGTCTGAAGCTCAAGAACTTACAACAGTCAAGATGTCTAAATTTGGTGGTGGTATTGGTGTACCCACTAAAGAGGAAAGACTGAAGGAAGCTGCGGAAATTCACTTGAGATTAGGACATATTCAGAGATACTGTGAACTTATGGTTGAACTTGGAGAGGTAATGTGCTATGAAAGCAAATTTAATGAGTTTAGGAAAGCACTCTGAGTTAAATTGTAAATGTTAAATTGTTTTTTCCAAGATTGTTCTTGTTCTCAGCCATTTTGGTGTCATGTGTATATCTTGGTACAGCAGTTATCAAAGAGAACCCCAGGCAAGCTACATCAGCATTACCTGGAAATGAGGCAGCCATACATTTTCCACCCAAAACCTATAGGATAGAAACTGTGTTTTTATTTTTTTTTAATATTTATTTATTTATGTATACAGAACTGGGGTATAGGCCAGAGGTGGGGGGCAGTGAGAGGCTTCACCAGAGACAGAGTGGGGAGTAGAACAGGGAGAACCCATGAAATACACTGCTGAGGGGAGCAGAGGATGGGTCAGGAGAGGTCTGCTGTGCCATGTCACTTCCAGGGCCAGGGATTGACCTTTCCTGAAGAGGCTGCAGATTTATCTTTACTGTGTTTTTATAAACAGCCAGAGTGTTTGCATCCATTCTAAATGTTTAAGAAGCACTGCCCTAGTCTAGAACCTCTAGCTAGAAAGTGACCACACTAGCTAGAAAGTAACCACTGAGGATCATCTGGTGAAGAATGGTCCTAAAATAGTCTGATTATTAGAGATGAATGATTTTAAAAAAAAACAAAAAAAATATTTCCAAAAAGATCAGGGTGAATCTCCACTGTTAAAATCCAGGAGTGTGATTACCATGGGAGGTGGATGGTTACCGAAATGGCACAAAAGATAGGGAGACTTCTGTGTCTTGGGCAAGGTGCCGGCTATGTAGGTGTGCTGTTTGTGAAATGCCACCTTTTTACTTTTTTTTTGCATTTGTATTTTAGTTCCACAAAAAAAATTTCCTTGCCCTTCGAAAAGAAAAAAAAATGCTCTGTAAATATAGATGTTCTTATAGTTGTTCATTACCATTTCCTTACAAGTAGTTTCTAGCTCTGTAAGATGAATACTATGAGATTGAGAACATTTCATCTTTTCATTTACAATACATATTTTAATTGAAAAGCTTCATAAATTCAGAGTTAAGTTAATCTACAGTGCAACTTCTTCTTTACTATAATAAAATTTCTCTTTACTATAATAAAGATAGGTGTCCTCTAAAAACATCTCTAAGGTAAAGTGACATTAAGTAATGTAGTATTAAAATCACCTGCATATAATTTAACCTATTATTTTCACTCCAGTTAGAAAATTTCTAAACTTAAAATGCTATAGAACTGAACTGGCTTTGGAGGTCATTATTTAAAATAAAGTTTTAAGGCCCTCACTGGTGGCACAACAGGTTAAAGCGCAGCACTAAGAAGCTATCCAAAACCACTGCAGCACAATTTGATCCCCTGCCAGGGGGATCTTGCCTGCTGCTCCCCTCAGCAGTGTACTTTGTTACTCTGCCTGTTCTGCTTCCCACTCTGTCTCTGGTGAAGCCTCTCACTGCCTTGGCACCTCTGCCTATACCCCAGTTCTGTATGCATACATAAATAAATATTTAAAAAATAAAATAAAGTTTAATTGCTATAGTGGTATTTTGGAATATTTTTCTTCTCAGTTCCCTTCCAGTCTTGATTGAATAAAGAGCTACGTAAATAGTTGCATATTTTTTAAATATGAAGACAGGTATTAACTATAAAGGAAGAAATGATAATGAGTAAAATGTATTGAAAATGAGTGGGGGAAAAATGAAAATGATATTGATATTTATTAAATATAACTAACAGTGAAATGAAAATCACTATATATTTTATTTTAAACATAGACTCCTACACAAAACAATGCTCTGGTATTGTGCTGGAAATGAGTGAATATATTTTTGAACTACATAGTTCATATCTGTTTCTAGACACACCACACACACACACACACACACACACACACATCCTTTCTCTTCTTCCTTCTTTCTCTCATTCCCTCCTCCCTATCTATTTTCTTCCTTCTTTCTCTCTCTCTAGGTTTGGAATGTTCCTTGCTAAATAATAGAACTTACATATCTTAATTTAAAATAATACTTATACTCTGTGGAATGAATGAGATAGAATACAAAAATATCCCTAGAAATCCAAACACTACAAAATTTATAAATATGAGCTCATTTTTAAATTCTCTCAAGAGTTAGTGCAATCAAAATAGATATGCTTCTGCTCTCCCTTTCTTTTATTCTAGTGGGACAAAGCCTTGTCAATTGCACCAGGGGTCTCTGTGAAATACTGGAAAAAATTAATGCAGAGGTAAGGCAGACAGTCTGTGTCCAAATAGATGTTGCAAAATGTGTTAAAATAGGGGCAATATTTAAATGGCACAGTAGCTTCTGAGATTTTTTTTTACTATTATAAGTAATAACTCACATGTTTTAAATAAGAACTGAATTTTGTATATACTGATACATTAAATGAATCAGTTATACATCATTTTGATGGTATAATATTTGACCTGACAAAGAAGAAAGGTAAATTATCAGTGGAGAAAATGACAACTCAGTTAACATCCCCACTGGTTAGTTCATTGCTGCTGGAATCAGATGGTCAGATTTCCTGAGGGCTACCAAAAGTTACAAAATACAGATTCTGTAAGAGTCTCAGACACAAAGTCCTCTATAAACACAAAGTTCTACCACTTCCTTTCTGTGGATGTAAAGGAGGTACTTATGACAAAGGAGAATTTTATCACTGGACAAGTTTAACTAATGTCCTTGTTTTAGAATGTAATAAATGAAAAAGATTTTTTCTGAGATGTATTAGTTTCCTAGGACTGCTATTACAAAATACCACATACCAAGTGACTCAGAACAATCAGAATGTATTCTCTCACAGCTCTGGAGACTAGAACCTGACAGAAAGTTGTGTATTGGGTTGTTTCTACTGGAAGCTCTAAAGAAGAATGGATTTCTTGCTTTCCCGCTAGCACGTGCTGTTTACCAACAGTCCTTAGCGTCCACTGACTTGTAGACACACCACTCCCACTGCTGTCCTGTCACACATGACATCATCTCTATGAATCTCTGTGTCCAGATAACATCAGTCATATTGGCTTGAGGGTCTATCCTAATTCAGTATATCCCCCCTTAACTACCGACAGCTCAAAGATCCTAGTTCCAAGTGAGTTTTCATTCACAGGTACCGTTAGAATTTCAACATATCTTTGAAAGGGCACTACTCACATCACAGCAGAAAACTATATTCTATTCATTCATTCGGCAACTATTTACTTAGTGCTCATGTGTGCCAGTCACTGTGCTAGAACAGTAAAGTCATTACTAGCCTCTGGCATTAACAGTGAAACATTTTTCTTTTTCCTCATGCGACATGGCTAAATGCATGAGGATTAACATATTTGCCACTGAAATGTCTGTTCCTTAGCACCTACTTTCCCAGCAATAACTCAAGCAGCAGGCCAACTCCAGCCCTCAGACTATCGGCTCCTTAACCTAAGCTCACAGACCCCTAAGATTCTAGGCTCCTGTGTCCACAACTGCACAATGTGAATGTGACTGTTGCCACGGAAACTTTGAAAATTAATGCAGTCTAAAGATAGGCTTTCAGAAAACCCCAGTGCAACCGAGAACCTTGAAATTACTTGTAATTTTAAAAATCCACGTTTATTTTATTAGGAGAGCTGATCAGTTAATCCAGGAAGATAAGGATGATGTCATTCCCTACTGCATAGCCATTGGTGATGTGAAAAAATTAGTCAATTTCTTTATGTCAAGAGGCCAACTTAAAGAAGCGCTGCTTGTTGCACAGGTACATCCAGTGATTTGCAAGCTACTTGCAGTGGTGGGTGGCCCATGGGGGAGAAGACTGTGCTACAGCTTCACGTGACTGACAGCCTCATCCCTGGCTCGTCATCTGGCCACCGCCCTGGCCTTCAGTCTCCACATGTCAGGCTCTGGCATACAGAACTTACTTCAGATCTTTAAGCAAGAAAGCATCTCTGAATTCTGAATGTCTCATATAGTTGTGCCACTGAACATGATGCTTGATGTATGTCTGATCAGCATTTTCTTTAACAAGGCATTCCCACGTTATTAAACATATTTTACATCGTTGTTTGTTTTTCATTTTTTTACAGTGTTTGCTCTCTTTTCCCAGGGTCCCCATAGAATTCCCACCACCGTTCACGCGTGTACCAATTCCATCGTCCCTTGTGCTCCTCTGCCCCCATCTGGCTCCCTCTCCCTCCCCCTGCAGAATATCGCTGATTTATAGTTGTCCATTTCTCTTTCTGTTTTGTTGTCTTTTTTAATTATTCTTTTCCCTGATCCTTTATTTGGTTCCCCTATATTCCTCCTGTAAGTGAAACCATCCTTTTTCTAATAATCATTTACTTGAGGCTTCATTCCAATACAATGTGGCTGACTTTTTTTTTTTTTTTCAAAATTCTAGGGGTATCCTCCAGATTCATAGATTCCAAATATGATTATATATCTTTGTTCAAAATAGTGTTCTGAAATTGCCCCATTACCAACAATTGCCTAAAGATTAATTAAAGACTTCATCAAATTCCAGGCTGCTTGTGAAGGAAACATGCAAACCTTACATATCTCTACGGCGAAAGCATCTTCACATCCTGACAACATCTACAAGGAAGACTTTACTGAGTGAGTCATTTATCTGTTGTGTGAGTCAGCATTTGTTATGATCCGTTTCCCCATAAGACTTTTTGAAGATCATAGAATTCATCCTTCTTTGTAAACACAGACTGGACAGTCTCAACTGTGCTTCTAATCACAATCCAGTTCCATTCCAGCATCACCCCTCAATGAGTACAGAAACGCTGGGCATGTAGATGAGCCCACATACATTTCATATGGTTTCCAGAGAAGCAAAATGCATTCAGTAGTGAGATTACAGATAAAGCGCTTATATATTTAAAAACTGAGCAAACCTGTTGGGAAGGAGGATGGTGGGGATAGGTGTTTTATTTCTGAGCTCACTGTAATTCCTCTCAAATAATATCACGAAACTGTTGTTCATCAGAACGACCCCAGAATGAGAATTAATATTTCATCCTTTTAAAGAATAGCTTCAAATAATTACTTTTAAAAAATGAAAATTAAAATACTTCATCCTTTTGATCTTTTCTTATTCAGTTTACCTTCCTCTCCTTTTCTTTTGACTCCTATGAAAGTTGGATATTTAAACTTTTTACCTTATCAAGCTAAAAAGCATAAAATGTTAAATCAGTAATGTGTCATGACTAGTGTTTCCTTCCTGGTGCTTTGCTGCTGTTGTCTGCCCTTTCTAAATGTGGCATTTTAAAGACTTTAACATCCAAAGTGTTTTGAAGTTTCAGTCCAGCTGTTCATCTTCTAAGGCCTCCATAGCAGAGCCATAAATTATTCTATATAACATGGCAAATTTTGAAAATTAAGCTTTTCTTCTGACAGTTGGGTATGGGGAAACAAAAAAAAAAGAGGGACTTAACCAGCTCATTAAGAAGGACTGTTTACATGATATCCCCCTCAAAATCAAAATCAGGCTTGCCACCTAAATCAGGTATATACGATTAAATTCTGGTCGATACCATAATCAGCTTGTTGGGGAAGAGTGTTGACTCACTTTTATGATGGAGTGGTGTTTATTTCGAATACATGCCCCTTCCTTTCCAGACTCCTGCACAGAGTCAGTAAAGAGCTGGCAGAATGGTATTTTCAGGATGGTCAAGCAGTGCTGGCTGCCTGTTGCCACCTGGCTGTGGACAATGTTGAGGTACCATGTTTCACTTTGGTTTGGGGAAAGGGGTCCTTCCTCTGTAAGACCTGGCTTTGCCCACTTTTCAAGTTTGGATAATCGCATGCACAAAAACTTCAGATTTCCATTCCATCCCTCCCTCCTTCCCTCCTTCCCTTCCCTCTGTTTAATTATGGTTGTCACTGGATACATATTTGTAACAGCCTGACTTAAACATTTCATTAGATATGAGAAGCAGTAGTGAGGCACATAGAAAAATGATGGACTTGGACTCAGAAGGCAGGACTCTTGCTGTTTGAAGCAAGTCATTTAGCTTCTCCGCATTTCAGCTGTCGTCAACTTTGAAATGAAAATCTACCTTATCTTTTTCACACAAGGTTGTTAGGATTATAAGAGCTTATACAAATAAAACCACTCATTTGTAATTATATACTATGTGTGTGTGTGTATGTACAATGCATTTTTTCAATTTTGTAAGTTGAATAAATATAATGTCACAAGTTATAGTTTTAAGGTATTTTCCATTTGACCTGCTAATATAAGAAAAATAATAAGCTATAGAATCTACCTTGCATGAATCCTTAGATATATTAGCTAATATATCTATATATAGGGAATAATTGATATTGTCCAGTATTATAGTAGTTTTTAAAAAGTTGAATTTTTTTTTCTGACAGGGATAACAAAAGAGAGGTTGAGGATTTTTGAAGAGTTTTATTAATTAATTATAAAACATTGAGTATGAACTCTAGACTCTTAAATTCTGACCTTACAAAATTTCCCATATCTCCTTATCAGCTGTCTGATCTAAACATCAGCATAAATTCTTATTAATACTTCATGAGAATATTACAGTCAGTATTTTAGGAATAATCGATTACAGGTTAATGCTCCTTTATCCACCTGAGAAGCTCGGTGGGGAATGATGAGCTAAGCCAGCATAGTTCAAAACCAAAGTAATTATTTTCTTTCTGCACAAGCTTGCTATGGCATACCTGATTCGTGGGAATGAGCTGGAGCTGGCAGTCTGTGTGGGCACAGTACTAGGAGATGCTGCAGCGCCAGCAACCTACTTTGCTCTAGAATTATTGGCAAGAAAATGCATGATGATGCCAACGTGGTAAGAAATTAAAAGTTCAAAGAACTATTTCATATGATGAATGCATTTTTTTCAGCATTGGAAGTTGAATTTAATAAATTATGTATTGGGAGAATGAAGCACATCTTTTTTTAAAATATAAAACATAAGCAAGTGGGGGGAATGGTATATGAAAATGACGTAATAGTAAGAACTGTTATCTTTATATAATGAAATCAATGATCTTTTGAGTTTTGTTATTCTAAATTTTCATTCTAAATTCAATTGTTCTAAATTTTGTCCCAGTCTTAGCAGGTGTCTCCCTTCAGTGATGGAATGTGGTAGCACTCCACCATAAGGTCTAGAATTCAGTGTATTCCATGCTAGCTCTACTCCAGGAGTACCTGACTTCCCCCACCCCAGCCCAGTCAAGAATTCTAATACTGTGGTAGTCAATTACGTAGTCAACATGACTTTCCTTAGATTTATCCCAAAGCATGGGTCTAACTCAAATTATTTATCATAAAGGTCTTGCTCCTTGCTGAAAGACATGCTCCAATCCAAATCAGTGGCATTCATTTCTAAAAAGTGAAGGCTAAAAACCAGAAATAGGTATTAAATCTAAAATTTTTTACTATATGTTTTAGTTACTTTAATACAAAACAAACTTCTGTTCAAGAGGAATTCCTTTATATTTCATAGGTATGTGTACAGAAATCAGGAGAAAATTCTAATTCTGGAATATGGGGTGTTGATCAGGTTTATTTACTGGGGAAATCTGTAATTCTCAGGGCTAGTCATAGTACTCAACAAATTTAAAATAGTAGTTAAGATATCTGCATAATTTCAAGAGAGTGCTCATGTCATAAACCAAGAGAACTTCATTTTTTTTTACATTTCCTTGTTTCTCCTTGCATATTTATGGTATTTATATTCATATTCTCTCTTTAGCTTTCCATCTGTTGGATACAGGTATTATCTAGTTTTATAAAAAAAAAATGTGCTCCTTAACTATTTTTGTTGTGTTGCTTTATAGAATACCAACTTGTCTGTATAATATAAAGCACAACATGAAATAATGAAAATGTTCTAATAGTCCTTGTACAGAATGACTCAGGATTTTATTCTTTGAACTCATATAATAATGAACTGTGACTATCTACAACACAAAATAATAGCTGACTCAGATACACGAATTAAAATGTCCATTCTGTTCGAGCTAATTAAGCATTTAGATAGTTTGGTTGGTATCCTTTGGTATTCTGAATTTCCTGTGGTGAGTTAGACTAAGTAGTAAATACAATGAGCTAACTTTGCCAGTGTATCAGAATATAATTCTATAGTAAGAAGGTTAGAGTTTGTTTAAAATTCGTAGAAAGATACAATTTTACCATTGCTATTTTATATACTGTGAAAGCAAGTGATAAATTCTGTATTCTCAAGGACATTATTGAAAACTGCTATTAAATATTGGTATCCCGAAATACTGAGAGTCTTTCATACTTTTTAAACAAGAACAGATAAATTACTCAAATTTGATCTTGCAAAAACACTTGAATATTTAGCTACATAACTATGATAGAAATTTTGACAAATTTTCACTATTCCTTTTCTATACCCATTATATTTCTGATTAGGTATACCTCAATGTTCTTAAAAATAATTTATGCACACAAATAGCCAATATAGATTGTGCTGAAGACCTCAATAAGGTGCTGAAGGACAATTTTAGTCAACATCCACAATACATAGCTTCTAAATTTACACTTGGAATTCTGGCGGTTCTGTATGCATGCTGATGGGTATCTACCACCTGTTGAAAATTGGGTGCTAACTCACTGAACCATTAAAAATTAGTGTGTTCATGGTTATAATGCATGCAATGAAAGGCTCATCACCTACTGATTTTTAAAAAGCAATTCATAAAATATTTTAATGTAAACTTCATATAATTTTAATGCTTATTTTTAAAAGCCTTAATGATTTATCTCATTAAATATTTAAAGAATAAGTCAGAAAACCACATTTTTGTCTTTGTTTCCCATTCAAAGTATAAATATTATGTAAGTACTATTGAATATTCTAGACTTAAAATATCCTAGATGTACTACTGGTTTTGAACTGATTAACACAGCATTCCACTATTGGCAAGCACAGCAAAAGGATGAGAAAAATCTTTCACAAAGATTGCTTTATAATTCTCCCCCAAAACATATATAAAGCTATTTAGTTTGGTGAAAAATGTGGTCTGCAATAATAGTTAATTCTAAATATTTAAAGACAGTGTGGATTTTAAAAGCTACTTAGAAACTTCATGAACATTTTTCCTTGATGCTTTTTATTTTTCGTTATCTACATTTAAAGAAGTTTCATGATTAAATAGGAAATTAGTTCTGTCCTGTAAATAGGAAAGCAAGAGAAGAATCTTCCTGTGAAATAGTTCTAAATGTTCTTTTTCGATTCTTTTTAATTGAAGTTTCCCTTTTGTTATGGTACTAGGAATCTGGCAGCTGATCTCCTCCTGATGACTCCTGGTAATGAACTACAGTTGGTTAAACTCTGTGCTTTCTATCCAGGGTGTACTGAAGAGATCGATGATCTCCATGAGAAGGTATGCTGCCAGTGTTAAACAACTTGGTTTGCATTTAGCTACCTTTAAGGTTGGGCAAATAGAGACACCGGGAAACAGTTAAGGGGCTCTTTGGGTCTTTTAAAAATGCAGTGAGCATGACAGCAATCCATTTTTATCAAGCTCATATAGATTTGTATTTTACTCAATCCTCAAGAAATCCTGAAAAGCAGATGATGTTATACCTATTGTCTAATTCCAGTTTCCAAGCTCCAAACAAAATACTTGAGTTTCACTTACATGAATTCCATTTCCCCCAGTGGGTAAGTTCCTATTCATTCAACAAGAGGTAGCTACCAAGTATTGTGTCACTAGAGGTAGACCAAGAGTTTATGTGAGTGTGTACGTGAGAGATCAGGGACAATCTTGTGAAAGGATAACTGAAGTTGCTCGTGGGTACATTTTGTATTTATACACTTTGTATTCTGGGAAATCTTTCATAAATGAACTCTGTTTGCTTTAATAAACATGATAAACAGTATTTTTATGTTGAAGTTAAAGTGCAAAGAAAGAAAGCAGGAATATATGTTTCAATTATACTTGACATTATCGTGTTGTATTTTAGTGTACATTTACATATCCTCAGAAACAAAAGTTTCAGACATTATTATTAAGGTGCAGAAAGGCTAAATGTTTTGTCTGTGTTTTCGCAGCTATAAGTGATAAAGGCATCTAATCCTTTCACCACACATTTTAAAAGGCTATAGTTAGAGTCTCTTGTTAAACTTAAGAAATAACTCTTTAAAAGGACTAGTATGTAGAAAGGTGTTAGTAATGGACAGTTTCACAGGTAATATTAAGAATTCAAATGTATTCAGATACTGTGCTAACCTGTATTACATGTAGAATTTTACGTAGGGACAACAATTATAGAGATGATTATCTTACTCTACTTATTGTAGTCTTTTGAAAATGAAATTTCAGTTCAAACCATTTATTCCCTTTACTCTTTAAGCATATATCAAAGTGAAGAAATGAACATTTTCTACCTAGCAACACCCTGTACCTAGCACATAGTAGTTTTTCAGTAAATAAGTGTCATCAACAAAGTCAAGACAGTTTACTTCCTCCTCTTTGATTGGTGGGATGAAAAGCTGCTGGCCCATTAGCTAATAATCCTATTGATTATTAGATCTTAAAGCTATTTTCATCCATATATTCTAGTCTTAATATAAATTATTTTATTTATACCTATTTTAAGCAACTTTAATAAGAAAAGAACACTTTGGCATATTGAAAATATTTAGTACTTGTACTATTGTTTTTATCCCTATAAATTTTAGTAACATTTACTTCAAACCTTATGTTTTCTAGTGTAAGCTTCCCTCAGTAGAAGAGTGCATGAAGTTGGCTGAGACAGCCCATGCAGATGGCAATTTATTTGAAACTATAAAGTATTACTTACTAAGTCAAGAACCTGAAAAAGCTCTTCCTATTGGTATCAGTTTCATCAAAGGTAAGTTACTAGTTGGCAGTTTAAATATACTCATCTGTTTGCTCTTTTCATTTATATTGACAGTCATCCTTCACATCAAACAATAACCATCCTAAATTTAAAAAGGAAACGATAGCTGATTGTATGATATCAGGACATGAGCAGGTAAATAGGTAAACTATGATCTAAAAAATCAAGTGGTAGGATTGACTGGAAGAGAATTATTTACAGGTTAAAAACTGAAAAACTGGATGAATAAGTTTGAACACTGTTGTTTAGAAACTTTTATTTGGTTTTATTTTACCAGAAAACATCAGTAGTTCAAATTGGACTTTGGATGCCATATACCCTGTTCTTGACCTATTGAGTTATATCCGTACTGAAAAATTAGTCTTGCATACATGTACTGAGTGAGTACTTTCTCTCCAAAATGCCTAACTGATCTATGTAATGCTTTAAAATGGCTATATTGTTTTTGATGTTAGCTCAAACAGTTAAATCATCTTAGACAGGTAGATGCACTTGGAAAAGTTACAAAGATCAGTTTGAATCAGAAGTAATGTCTCAGGGAGCCCCTGTAGGAACAGCTAGTGAGCATATGTTCATATATGTAGATGTACATACGTGACAGCTAGTTCAAACAGCTAAGTCAAAGGTTTGGGACTTCAAGTCTTCAAAAATATCTATTGTGTGCAAAACAGAATAGTTTGGGATGGGGGATGAACTGAAAGTTCTGGCAAATTATAAACACCACCCCTGAATTCAAGTGCCACTTAGGGGACATTGTTGTCCATGGAACTGAAGTCTGAGACACTGTTACAAATGCTCTGTATTGTGTAATAGAGACTTTGGGCTATTCTTGTTTTAATATCCATGTGGGGAAAGTGATCCAGCACCGTGGGAAACTTGGCAAATGCAGTGGATACTGATGACCCTTCCCTGGACTATAGAATATAGCAGAAATTCCAGATCTGACCAAATGTATTGCAATCAATGAAATGAAATGAAGCCCAGGGAAGGAAAAGAGAAGACAAGAGTTAAATATTAAGTATTTTATACTTGTGTTAAACATTGTAATTTACATTATAGCACAGATGTAAGAATAGGGTTGATTGATAAATTGAACATCTTCAAGTTTAAAAAATGTTAAGTTTAGAAAAATGTCTAAAACCTATGTTGTTATATCATCCTTCAAAAGATAAAGTCACAGTACAGTAACAGTAAATGAGATTAATGTTTTATATCTCAGATTGCGGAATATTTTGAAAAAATAAACATTTTCTTTTAGAGCTCGAAACGAATTGCTCATAATATATGGCTATGTTGGTGCATTATTGGCTATCAGAAGGCAGTACCAAAGTATTGTTCCAGCACTTTATGAATACACAAGGTAAAAGGCTTTTCTTTTCTATTATGAGGCCAGTTAAATTGCTGTTACTAAGATGGCTCCATTCTAAGTGTATCAAAAGGCAGCACTACTCAGTATGTACTTTGCAGTAAAAGAGCAATAGTAAATTACATGAATTAGAAGTGACTTAGGGGCCCTCTCTGGTGGCGCAGTGGGTTAAAGTGCAGCACTATGAAGCTAGCCACAGCCGCTTCAGCACAAGTTCGATCCTCAGACAGGGAGCTGATCCATATGGTGCAGCCAACTTCCCGTCTCACCTGCTCCTCCCCTCAGTAGTGTGTTTCAGTCAATCTGCCTGTTCTGCTCCCCACTCTGTCTCTTATGAATCCTTTTAGCCCCTGCACCTCTGACTTGTACCCCAGTTCTGTATGCATAAATATTTTTTTTTAAAAAAGAAGTAAATTAGGCTAGAAACAATAAAGATCCTAATTGTAGCTCAAACACAGAATTTATTGGTTTTATGTCAAGCACTTCAGATAGGTCTTCCAGGGCTGTCAGACAGGTGATCACTGACTCCAGGAAGGGCCTGCATTGTTCCTTTATTTTGAATCTGATTTGCCTTCTTTCCTTTTGTTTAACCTCCCATAGTTGCAGGATAGTGTCTAGTTCCCTATACATTGTGTCTACATTCTAAGCAGTTTAGAGAAGGAAAGGTGGGGCCTTCCTAATGGTTTAGGAGCCACCACTGTCACCACAGCTATGGCCTGAGTTCGATCCCCAGCCAGGGAGCTGACCCACATGGCTCAGCAGATCTCTCCTGTCTCACCACTGCTCCCATAGCAGTATACTTCGTTCGATCTGTTCTGCTCCCCACTCTGTCTCTGGTGAATCTTCTCACCGCCCCCTCCCCCACACCTCTGGCCTCCACCCCAGTTCTTGTATGCATAGATAAATATTTTTTAAAAATAAAGAAAAAGAGGGGAAGGTGACAGAAGGAGATCACAAGAGGCTTTCTCCGGACAGCACCCTGTAGTTCAGGTATCAAAGTCCTCGTCAGGCGGTCTGCCTTATGTCTCAGGCCAGAACCATATACCCTGCTTTTAAAACGACATGAGAAGCTGGTGTTTTAGGTTTCTAATCTGTGCGGTAGAAAGGGGATTTGTGAGGTGGAGGTAACTCATTCTTTGTATTCAAGCATAACCTGCCTGCCAAACTCCTGTATTTCCTAACAGCTTGCTGAATTCCAGTCATTACACCAAAACTTGTTCTGCTTAAAAAATCCACAGCATGTTCCATTAAAAAAAAAGTCCAAATCTACTAGCTCACTAATGGCATAGCAGTTCACTCCTAAAACTGCTGAGACACCCTGAGTGAGCAGTTTTTCTGTTTCCTTCATGTTATGCAGAGAATTCTGAGTAAAACAAAGCTTCCTCTTCCCTAACTTTTCTCCCATGTGTACAGAATTGTAGATTTGACATAAGTTGTCAAGAGAAAGCTTGTTTCTACACAAGCAGCCTAGCCACACATATTTACACACACACACACACACACACACACACACAAGTCATTGCACAGCGATGAATAGAAATACTTTTGAATATGTTTATAAGCCTAAAATTGCAGTTATTTAAGGCTTATTTGCTTTTTGGATAGCTTAGTCTTTGCTGTCAGATGTTAATTTCTTTTTCACATTTTCAGTTGGCTGGTCGAATGCTGATTTCTTTTTTACATTTTCAGTCAGCTATTAAAACGTCGAGAGGTGTCAGTGCCTCTGAAAATTGAACACCTTTCTGAGGAATTGGATGCATGGAGAGCTTGTACACAGTTTAGCAACCGGTGAGCAAATCTGAAAATTGGAATACAGAAAGTATAACTTTATAGAAAAACTTGTTGAAAATGTACATTGTCTTGTTAACCTTAGCAGAATAAAGAATCTTGACTTGTTTAGCACATACACAGTAATTATTTACAATGCTTTTCTTTCTTACCCTTTTCAAGCTTCTATTTTACACTAAATTTAGTCTAGTTGATTTATAGTGAGTAACCATCAGGGACTGTTGCTGATCTAAACCCTAGTAATTTCATGATTCTACATAAATGAAAATATAACGTATGTTGAAAATGTAGATCATTGGAAGATTCTCCATATACACCCCCATCGGAATCACAAAGAATGGTTTATGCTACTTTGCTAAAGAGAGTAAAAGACGATCCACTCAAAGGCGTTACTGGACCGGATTATGTTACTGGATCAAATCTTCCAAGCCACTCCGATATCCACATCTCTTGTCTTACAGGACTAAAAATTCAGGTACAACCTTAATGTTGGGCATAAATTGTGAATTTCCAAATTGTTATGTATTTTGAAATGCAACCTTAAATAAGTATAATCTAAATAAAAGTAGTACTATAAAGCCCAAGGCCCCATGAGAAAAATTTCACCTACTGCCTTTGTAGTTACAAGTCTGTCTCTAAAATAGATCCCTGCAGTCTTTGTACCATTATTATAAAAGCAATTCATGTAATAGGTATACTTAGTAACATATGGTGTATTGACTTAGTAACAAGTGTTTTAAAATACAGATCAGATCTTTAGAGAAATTAAATAAGATAAACAAAGCAGTCAACACAGTTGTACATTATTATATCACAATAGGTTAATCTTGAAGTCTCCATTTATATCTTATAAATACAAAGAAAGCAACAACTGATAATAGTATAATAAGCTATTGGTATGTCATACATCTTACACTGATTCACTGAACTTTTCAGCAGTTAAAAATTATTGCAATCAGTCATGAGAGGAGACTAACTCCCCAGGAATGGTCCCTAATGTAGAGTCAGTTAGTGATGGAGAATGATGCTGCAGTCTCCTAGTGTGACCCAGGGTTGCCATTATTTGTAGAAAGCAGGAAGCCTTTGATACCTGGGAACCAGAACCAGGAGGAAGCTTCCCATACAGTAAACAAAGCTGAGTCCCCTTGAAATGCTAGTGGAGACCATATACTGGCTCAAACAAATTCCACCTCCTGCTATTAATAGACATTTTACTCAGTTGAGTCTTTTCAGAGTGAAATCTGTTTTAATATTGACTTTTCTAGTACATTTCTAATACTGACACGCCATGTTAGTAGAGAAAGATTTTTTTTGTACTAGTATTCAAAATAAATTCGATAGCTTGTTACTAATGAACACTCTCATCATAGCTGGCTTGACACTGCGGACGAGTTAGGTCTTCAGAATGCAGCTATATATATCCCCAGACAGACAGGTACTTAGTTGTTTATATGTTTACTGTCCACTTGTATTCAGAGATAGAGCCCAAAACAGTAAATTCAATAACTTATAATTTAGAGAAAATACACTGTAATTCTAGAATGTATCTTCAGTGCCACTGACCGCCCCTCTGAGCCATTTCAGTCAGTAGCTCTTGGTGCTCTCCTGTTCTCCTGGTCCTCTTCAGTTTCTTCTTCTCCATCTGCCATCTCCATATGACCTAGTATCCATGCCGTCTAACCTCTTTGTTCCCAGAAGTTAAGAAATGATCTACTAATTGTCTCATGTACATTAAGGCCTGAATGACTAATCTAGATGGAGTCCCGCTTCCAGGATACTTAGTTTCAACAGAAAATTGTGTAGTGTGATTGTAACAATGGAATTTCAAGAAACTTTGTTATCTTGAAATAACTAGAATAATTTGTTAACAAAAAACTGTATCATTTGGAAACATTAAAAAAAAAAAAGACCCCAATACCCTGATAGTTAGAACATGCTTTATAAAATAGATTCATTTTAAGTCATGTTTATTTTTTCCTTGTAAGGACTTGGAAATACAGATTGGACCTAATTTTTACAGAACTACCTATAACATACAAAATAACTGATGTAACTACATTATTAACATGTTAGTAAATCGCAATATGACCTTAAATTATATACATATCTATGGGAGTGATTTTTCATCTCCGGAGAACTGGTTTAAAGTTTCTGGCTTCAATAATTCCCAAGCTGTACTGATGTAGCTATATGTTAAAGTAGTGAACTGCTTTAAGTCTATTTTGAGGCATATATTAAGCCTATTACAACTTTTAAGTCTATTACGAGGTATATATGACTATAAAATGTTAACTTTCAGGTAATTCATTGATTAGCAATACCTATTTTCATTGACGGTACTATTGTTTTGAAAAAATTCAAGTCATAAAACTAAATCCCATTTTAAAGACATCAGAGCATAATGTTGAAATGCTATTTGTTTCCTTAAATAGTAGTAGTTCAAATAACATTTTTCTCATATTTTAAAATTTCTGTTTGGCATTGCTAAATATAACCAGTATTTTCATATTAGAGTGAGCTGTTTCTGAAAGCATAAAAATATGATGATATGATGTGAATTTATGACCTCATCTTCTTTCTCCTCAACTGTCCTTCTGTGCAGGGCCCTGTATATTTCCTTGAAGATGGAAAATCCACTATCTCATTGAACGATGCCTTGATGTGGGCAAAAGTGAATCCATTCTCACCTTTAGGGACTGGCATACGACTCAATCCTTTCTGATAGAAGGTTTTTCTCCACGCTTACTATTTTTTAAGAAGAGTTTTTAAGGGTTAGTATTGCCTTAACCTTTGTTGTCCAGCAGCCAAAGGTTGGGAGAAAGGGTGGGGGGAGGGTAACAGTTGATTTATTTCATTAACTTCAAAAAATAAAATATTTATATAATTTCAAGGAAAAATAGGTGTCTCCTTTACAGAAAAAAACACTCAAAACCCTTATTTGTGAGGCAGTCCCTTAAAATTATTCAGGGCTGCATTATCTGAAAGAGCATATAAAAGTTTCACAAAGCATGAAAGTAACCAAAACGCTACAATTCAATAATTGAGAAATAACGTGCAACGCTTAGAATAGTGCTCCACATAAGGAATACACAATGAATACTTGAGTAACAAACTGTCCCAAAATACTGAAATACAGGTTATATGCGACTGATCATCAGTTACCAAACATCCGTACTCTGCCTTCAGGGAAAGTGAACTACTAGTTTGTACACATTTAATCAAAGTTTTGCGTTGTGTTTGTTAGCTATCAGTCAGTGGACATAGAGTCAAAAACTTCAGAATTTTACTTTATAAGAAAGAAAATATTACCATATTTTTATCTGAAATTCAAGTGTCCAATTATAAAGATATAGATAATATAAGCATCAAGAAAAATGACTTGTGAAAAACACAAAATACAGTCAGATCTCTGTGAGAATTTGCATTTGGTAGAAATCAACTATTTTGAAAGGTATTTTGTATGAATGGATATTACTTTTGATTAAAGCATTTAATATTTACATAATCTAATCAATTTATATTAACTCAATTTATTTGATGAAAGTCACTTTCAAATAAATTTCTGTAAGCAAATAGTATTTTAGTTGATATTTTGGGTGTATTATGTAAATTCAAGTTTTTAAAATATTTATTAAAATAAACATTATTTTTAAAAAGCCTGAGATAAGATTATCGTATTTCAATTCTGGTTTTGAAATCTATTAAATGAATACATACCAAAAAGAATGCTACTGTGATACTCAACTTGTTTTACAGGAATTAGGGATGTTTTATGTCTAGCCAAAGAGTGACTTCATAGAAAAATCTTGATCTTAAAACTTATTACATTAAATTTTTAAAAATTTACTTGATATTTCTTAGGACTGAACTAAATATATATATATATTAAGTACTTTTCACACTGATCAATGCTAACTCCTCAAAAAGATATATGCTTAAAGTCTATTTTATAAAAATATTAGTATTATATAAAAGAATGTATGCAACCCAGAGAGGCAATAAGTAATATAGGGTATATCTCAGAGGTATTTTTTTTTGACACAGTGATATGTGAAACTCAAATATTTTTAGATGTTTTATTCATTGTCATGTATATATGAAAATCTCCTCATTTAAAAATGACATTTAAATCCCTCTATTGTTTTTTATTTTATTTTAAAATAAATTAAGATGCCTATCCTTTGTACTTTAAATATGACAAAGATAGCTTACATTTAAATTATTCATGTGTAAACAATTACTACCTTCTGTATTTTTAGTCACTTTGGGAAAATAATTTTTTATGTATAAAATATAAAGAAAAATATCTTACAACACTTAGCACAGGAAGACAAGAAAGGAGAAACCCACTTTATCTAAAATCTAAATTGGATTGGTTCCATAGTCATTCCACTATTTTATGATTTCAACAATGTTTTATGCTTTAACATTAATCATTACTGCTAATTCTTCATGGAATTTTAAATGTCATTTAACTACATCAATCTGTATGTATAATGTGCCTTAATAGGGAAAACAAAGCCTTGTTTTTTAATTTGTAAAAGTACTTTCGTTGTTATATTATTTTAAAAAAGTACTTTTGTTATTGCTCATAACCCAAACATGAAAACCCAGTTATTTTACTATCTGAAAATGTTCATATTCCCAATGATATAGACTAACTATTTTACAAGTTTAAATGTACCTTTAGAAAAGAATTCTATTACACAAAAATTTTTAAAGCATTGGAAAAATAGTTTGCTTATGAAAATTATTGACATTGCAACATCAAAAGAGTTACATATTGTGAACACATATGTACCTCAAAATTATGTCAATCAAAATGAGTGAAGTGTATATATACTTCCATGAAGCCATTCTAAGTGGCCAGGAACATGATTGGATTAGGTCAATGACTATATTTTATTGTCTTTTAACAGGAGAATTGATACTTTTTTGGTTCTTAGGTCAAAGAATATCAAAAGATATTCTGAATAGAGTAAACTAGTAGTAGTAGTGTTCATATGCAGTCAGACAGAAAATATCTTTATTAAAGTCAACACTTAGTAAGTGCTTTTTATACCATAGCTTTAAAATATTTCTACCTAAATAATTGAAATAAGTACTTTCATGCTGAATTTAAATGCCATATGACTAGGTTATAATATGGCATGCAGTTTATTAATTTTTATGTATTATGCATGTATTTCAGGTTCCCTGAATTTTAAAAGGTACTGCAGTTAAAGCCAAGGATGACATAGATAAATGCTACTATATATGGCAGCTTAATCCCTAAAACAGCCTCTCCATAAATGCTGGGGCAGATTTATCGTGGGTATGAAAGACTAAGCTGTCCATCTGTATTACTCACTTCTTGGAATACTAGAAGATTGTTTCCTTGAACTGTTCATGAGAGTGGTTTTCCAGTTGTAAAAAACACTGACTACAATTAAATCCCAAATTAGTACAAAATAGCAGAAGTGCTTACGCTAAATACAAACAGCTATCCCAGAAGTGTCCATTCCCATAGTGTTTTACTAATGATTGAAAAGGTTCTCTTTGCAGAGGAGCTGTGTAGCTCTGAGAAAAAGTAACTTCTTCCTTCTGTCAAAGGACCCTTGTGCAGTGACGACGTTCCAAAGACAATGTCTGTAGTCATGGCTGCTATTGGCACACACCACGTCAGAAGGTCTTTGAGTTACTTACTTGTACCATATTTGCTCCCTTCATTTACTTTATTCACTATGAAATACAGATGTAGACTATTTCATATTCCTCACAACTCTTCTTAGTCACCCAGGAGTCCTGGGAACTTATCAAACTGAGGCCCTTAATTAGTATTTCCAGAAAATTGAGCAGAGTCAAGGAAGACTAGATTAGATTTACCTAAGTCTAATCTTTCTCTCTGAATCTTTTCCTCAGCTAAGCTTCAGAAGTCTTGCTTCTAAAACCCTTTCCTGAGGAACTGAATTTTATTGATTGAAAGTTATTATCATAATTTTCTACTTTCAGTTTGTCCCAGTAGAATTAAAGGCAACAGGTAAATAACATGCTGACTAAGATTTGCATCTGAACTCTATCCTTTACTCAAATCAAATTAGGTTCTGAACACATTTCTAAAAAGTCAAGTATTTTATCAGGATACCTTATAGTGTTTTATTATATATTTTCTTTTTTGAAAAAAATGTTTTGTAGAAAAACTGGGAGTAGACCAGAGGTACAGGGTACTGAGAGGATTCACCAGAGGTAGAGATGAGGAGAACAGGTTGATTTACTACACTGCTGAGGAGAGCAGTAGGCAAGACAGGCAAGGTCTACTCTGCCATGTGGGTCACCTCCCTGGCAAGACTGAACTCAGTGGTAATAGTGGTTAAGACTTAATCCCCAGGCCACCATGGAACCCCTGTCTTACGAAGTCTTTTTATTCAAGTGTGTAAAACTAAACAAAGAAGCTTCTGAAGATAGAAATTCTAATAAAACTGCGTAAGTTTTCAAAAATTCAGAAGAACTAAAGAGTTTAGTTGGAAATTGACATGCATATCATGGGATTCCACATTAGCAAAATTCACCTTGGAAATCAAATGAGATAGTTAATGAGACCCCATGAAAGCATGAATAATTCCAATTGTAAATTTTCCAAATGTGAATATTAAATTACCAAGAATATATGAAAGATAATTAGTCTGCTTTTGTTTGCCTTCAATAAACATATGAGTCATGGCAGCAAGCAGTAGGAATTTTTAGATTGAACTAAATAGATTACTAAACACGAGAATCACATTCCTAGGGAAAATATGATTTCACTTCTCCATGCGTTATCAATGGGAGGGCACCTAGTCTTTAAAAATGGCCTAAGTAAGACTATTCATGCAGACAGTATTTTCTGGGAACTAGCATATAATAATAATCATTCAGAACAAAATTTCTCTTAGTGAAATTTATGAGTACATAGAATTTTTCCTTCCAATGTCTAAGAAAATTTATTATGAAGTAGATTCGCTATTCCTACAACATTCATGAGCATGAACTCTCACAGACGATTGTGTTTGGAGACACTGTTTACTCATTCTGTTCTGATAATTTCATTTTGTATTTTCAACAGTACCTCGCACAGATGTTTGATAAGTGTTTCTTAAATTGGATTGAGCAAATATGTTCTTCAGTCCAATGAAGGATAAGACACCACTTTAATTTGCTTACTACTGAACTATACGCAAGGGTAGGTTTGTCACCCTTTAGTATGGCAAGTGAGGGGGTATCAGAACTTTACAGCTATTAGGTGCCTTCCAAGGTTGCTTCTCCATGTTTCTTGTAGGCTTATACGGAATTCAAAAGAATGTTCTCCATTGCTTCAAATTACCTGCGTTTTCTGGAATATTTAAACAAACAAATTTGTGGTTATTATATTTACAAAGTTATCATTGTGTCTGACATATCAAATGTGTACCAAATGATTGGCAGCTAACTAAGTACAGGCTAATAATCTAAATGCTGGTAAACAAATTATGTGAGGCACGTATTATAGTAGCCATAAATAAAAAATCTGACTGTCATTCACCTCCAAAAGTCATCAGCAGTGCCTAAAAATATCAAGGACTTATTTTGGTGCATCTGAAACTGAATATGACTCAACTATTTTTAGACATTACTTCAGAAAGCAGCTGAGGCAACAGGGCCATTATTTTAACAGTTCTTAGGTTTGGCAACTATCCTTCATTTATAATTGGAACACTAACTGTGCTGAGGTAACCTGCTGGTTACCCAAACTCTTTAGGCCTTTCAGTTCCAATCCAAGGGCCCAGTGGCAGGCAACCACAAAATCTTATATCCCTTTGGCCTATTATTTTACCAGAGCTAATTCAGTAAATAAATGGAGGGATCTAAGAGTTAAAGGAAAAAGCCAAAGGTAACAGCCTCTCTCACAACCGATTTTTCACTACCCTGTTTGATGATTAGAAGCTTTTCAGCTAAACAGTCTGTGTGGATAGACAGGACCTACCTAAGATAGGGCTCAGTGCTCGCATCCCCTGTTCTTGCCTCGCTTCATTCCATTAACTTGCAAATGATCAAATCAGATTCTCTGATCTAAACTAATCACTACTCTTTTATAGAAACAACTAAAATGGAATCCTTTTAAGAAATTGGGAGTGAGAGGAAAGATAATTTAAAGCTTAGCAAATGAGTTTTCATCCAACTAATTATGAAAATCAGAACCACACCATTCATGAATCCTTTATATATGTAGACTAAGAAAATCTAAGTTTCTGGAACAGTATTAAGAGAAGTAAAAAGATATACACTCCTCCTCATTGTGACCAGCCCTGTCTGTTAAAGACTTCCACCGTCCTTCAGCTATTTTGAAAAGGAGAGGAAAAGGCCACCGAAGTCAAGGAGAATCATAAGATACAGCACTGAAAGAATAACATCAGAAAGGAGTTATTCAGATCAACTGAATAGTTATTCAGATCAGCTTTTACATTGTTAAAAGCATAAAAGCAAAAAGCCGTTCAACATGGAGTCCTGATCTGAAATAATGATAGCATACAGCTTTTCTAAAGGTAATTTTCTGAGGTGAAAGAAATGAGAAATGCTCTCTAGCAATTCAAGTATCAGTAGGCATCGTTTTTGTTTTTGTTTTTTTTTAAAGATTTATTTATTCATATGGAACTGGGGTACAGGACAGAGATGTGGAGGGTGAGAGGATTCACCAGATCGACGAAGTGCACTGCTGAGGGGAGCAGCGGGCGGGTCAGGAGAAGTCTGCCGCGGGTCATGTGGTCACCTCCGGGGCAGGCGGAAATCGAACTCATGCGGAAGTGGTTTTAGCTTCTCAGTGCTGTGCTTTAACCCGCTGCACCACCAGGGAGGGCCGGCATAGTCTTTTATTGATGGTCACAATAATTCTTTCTCGCATAGGACGGTAGCCTTGTTGTAACTCACTAGATCATGACTGTGGAGTGCCCAGGGACCCCAAGCTGTTCATGGGTGTAACATTCTAAAAGGGGTTTGGCTCTCTGCTGCTCAAAGGCAAAGGTAGCAGATGTTTTTGTATGAAACATATTTAATAGAATTAATGTGCATAGAGACAGTAGAAAGGATAGTCCTAAGAATTTTCCAATGAAACTCCAATGGGCAACCGCCTAACTATACAGTGTTATTCTGAAGTGGGGGGGCTGAGGCCTGAAGGTTTGCACAAGTCTAACTTCTGGCAGCATGGAAAGATTTTGGGAGGTCCCAGAGAACTGGGACAGAAGGAGAGAGAGGTAATGCGAAATCTAACACAGCAATATGACTGCCATGGTCTCTGTCAAGGACCAGGAAGAGCCTCTCCACCTGTGTCTCTCCCAGGTACCTCTTCTGAGTGACTCGATACATCTCTCTTCCGTGGGTCTCCTTAGCAGTACCAGAGCACAAGAGCATGACACAAGAGCGTGACACAAGAGAGGTGGCCTGCCCACCTTCTGTGCTACCTAGATCCACCTGGCTGCTCAGTTTGGCTCCTCCTTCCGCTACCTCCCCCAGTCAGGAAGTCCGGTTCATGGCTCACTGGGACTTACAGGCCAAGGCGATGCATGTACGTGTGGATGAAGAAGGTGGTTTTTCCCCTTCATGGAGAGTACCAGCTCATTACTACTACTGCTTTTTTTATTTCAGTTTCCAAAGAAAGTGGTTGCTCTCTTTCCCACCCCCAGTCAGGGAAAGAGGTGCTTTGAAAAACTTCTTTCAAAGAAAGAAACAATAGGCATGAAACTACTCATGTCAAGCCTCTCCCAAAAGTGGAAATTTAAACTAACCAATCTGGAGTTTCCTGGTGTACACTTGGGAGGTAATGTGCATGATAATACCCCCTGACTTCCACTTAGGGAAGGCAACTTTGCCTGAAGTAACCATTTTCTTTTGCTAATGGCCTTATTTCACAATCTTTCTGTTAAAAACTTTCCATTTTGAATGACTTCTGTAGGGCCTGCTTGCTAGGGGATACAGCTTAATATATGAATTATATCATAAACACAGCTGGATGTTTAAAATCAGCTT